TTCCATTTTTAAAATGAAAAAGAATAGCTAGTTTGAACCATATATGTTTCAACTAGAATACAGCAATACTGGATATTTTCCATCATATTTGTATGATAAAGTAGTATAATATATTTATTATCTAGCTATGAGTTCCTTGGTAACGGTTTCTAAGTTTTTTTTGCTGCCATTTTTAGTGCCTTGTAAAAGAAAAAGGGGTCTAGGGGCTTTCCCCACACACAACAACATGAAACAGATGCTATCATAAGTAGTTCTAGTAGTCTCCAAATTTAATACAAAATACAACATGTGGCTCTGAAGGATGTCACTGATGAGGTTGCCGCACGCAGTTATGGAACTTCTATTTTCGAGGAATAGTTCCATGTTGATGTCCAGTTTTTCATGTTTATGAATTGCTTTGATATATAATTTTGAGGTTTAATAATATTACATCGTACAAATTGAAGCGGAGTCATTTGTTCTGCTTATTTTGAGCTTCATCGCCTTATGGTAAAAATAGTCACACTGTCGTATGCGGCTGTGTTCACAGCATCAAACAAACATGGCAGATAGGTATTCTGTAGTCGATGGCGCCACACTGACAGCGTCACAACAGTCTGGTCTTGTGACTCATGACTGCGGATGCTTGTTATCTGCATTCCGGGATTTTTTTGCAAACTGAATCTTAACAAACAACACTGGCTACAATGTGTACTGTTAATCTGTTTCCAACAAAGGGAGAGTGTATTTTGTGTAATGTTTATGTTCTATATCTGTCAATTACATTTTGAACATGCTGTTGTTATTTACTGTTGCTCTGAACATACAACATAATATGTTTATGAAGTTATGCATGTACAATGCATATTTTAGAGAGTGAGTGAGTATGTTTTTAACACTGTTTTTAGCAATATTCCTGCAATATTAACGCAGGGAACACCAGAAATGGGCTTCACACATTGTACCCACTATGTACATGTAGTACTGATTCAACTGTTGGTTGCTGTAGCAGGTTTATATATTTTTTATATTTTTTTTACAGGTATTTTTTTACGAATTAGGTCAAATTAATTTCTTGTTTAGTGGGTTTTCTTGGTCAAAATGTCAAGTGGTATCATGTAAAATAAGAAATATAGAGCAAAAAAACTCTTGAAGTATTGATGTAATTGCTTTATCGAAACAAAAAAGGATTTCTGTTTTGGTTTATTTTGGGTGGCTTGACTAAACAGGAAAACAATGGGTTCTGCCCTTGTCATATTTCCTTCCTAGGTTATACACTATTTCATCGTATTTCATAACTGGTATTAACAAATAAAATTGTTTGAGTAAATTGCCAAGTTTCATAATTCAAACAAAACTACTTCATACATTTTATTTCGTCCTCAGGGGTTTTCCTCTACATGTATTCCATCCGATTTTCTAATAAATGATCTATGTTTTCACAAAACAGAAATATGAAGACCTGAATGTATGAAAATCGTCAGTCAGTAGAAACTAAGTGCTTCTCTAAAGCCTGGTAATGTGATCACCTTGTCCAGCAGTCAGTCTGTCTGTAATAAGCATGTTTCGCGGGGACCTGATTGCGCAGAGCAGCAGAGCATGAAGAATTACAAACATCAATAGAAAGTAGTGACAGCAATTTGCATGCAATCACTGTTAGACAGGATCATCTGCGTGCCCCTCATTTCCTTATTTGGGGTTAATATCGGTGTTGAACATCGGTTTTGTGACATCAGTGTTGTGACATCGTTGTTCCCTATTGATTCCCAGCTTCTAGCCTCCACAAGCTGTAATCCTCTCTTGCTTCCACAACATGGCAAAACTTGTCCCTGTTTTGTAATCTGACAGAACGCCTCAGGCTAATCTTCAGTGTCATAAGATTCACTGTCAGTGGTTGTGAGGAACATGGCATTTTCTCCTTGAGTGGCTGCTTGACACGGACTTATGGTTGTGATGGTGAACGAGTGAAGGCGGAGCCAGGAGACACACTATATACATGTAACAACGAGAACACTAACATGGGATAGGTAGAGTGAGTGAGGTGGGTTTAACAACAAACAGTCCTCATGTTATACCAGTGTGTCAACTTTATGTGGGAGGAAAGCCCGAAGAGATGCAGGTCTGAGACGTTTCACTTTGGTGCAACCCATGAGTATGGGTATGGTGCTGACAGACCTAGAAACATAATGGGGGTGAACAGGGATAACATGCACGCACCCACGCACGCACAGAGGCTGAAGAAAATACAGGTGATGGGTAGAGGTGTCTGAGGAAAGGTGGGTGTTCACATCCAAGTCACAAAGTGAACAAACACAGGTGATAGGTAGACACATGAGGCGTTCTTTTTTTTCACCTACCAAAAGTTATTTTACTGGAAAAATTCTGAAAAGAAGGTAAAAAAAAGTGCGTCCAAAAGAAGATAAATGGATTCCCAACTTTAGTCAGGCAGCACAGGAGAGATCCAAAGATCACGGGACAATATAATGATCTGATGTATAGTTTACTAGTATCTCCTCTATACCATGGAGAATTATTCACTTTAGTGCTGTAGTTTGTAGAAGCCTTGTTTAGGTCATCAATGGTTGTAATGCTGTCAGTACGAACCAAATGACATTGCCAAGCTTAAACCCTAGTATTTGGAAGTATAGATTTTTAAGGGTACAGATTTTACTCTTTTACCGAAAAGCCATCTAGAAATGTCATCCTATGAACCTGGTGAGTGAAATATCTTGATGACATCAGCTATTTGATCTTGGGGATTAAACCTGAGATTGTTAAGATCAAAGTGATGTGGACCTGTGAAGATCCGGGTTAGAATAGGTCTTCAGCAACCCATGCTTGCTGTAAAAGATGACTACCTGAATGCTTGCCGTAAGAGGCGACTAACAGGATTGGGTGGTCAGGCTCGCTGACTTGGTTTATGCATATCATCGTATCCCAATTGCATGGATCGATGCTCATTATGTCAATCACTGGATTGTCTGGTCCAGACTCAATTATTTACAGACTGCTGTCATATAGCTCTGAAATATTGCTGAGTGTGGCGTTAAACAACACACAAACAAATAAACAAACAAAAATCAAATTGATGTGTGTCTTCATGTGTCTTTTTCATGGACTGATGTGATTGAAAATGGGGATGGCTTTTTATTCTTTACATGTAATGGATCTATTTTAAGGTATTTTGATTCTTTCTCATGCAGAATTTACCTGAGTCATCATATTTGAGATATTCATGTGATTGACTAGTTGCAATCTTGTATTATCAAATCAGTTCCCAGACACGGAGTGAATTCATGACATCATCGTGCTTAATGTTACATGACTTACTTATGACATTTGACCCTGGTCATACTTTGGACTGCCTCTGTGGTTGAGTGGATAGGGTTGCTGCCCTGAGAGCAGAAGGCTGGTGGTTCAATCCCCAGCCACATCATGCCAAAAGACGTTACATTACTTGTTGCCCTGTCGTTGGGTATTAAAGGGATGAAAGAACTGGTCGGCTCGGAATCCGTATACGTGTATACGGTATCAATGTTAAACTGTGACATGGTATCTCTATGGGCTTCCACTATAAAACCAGCTTTAGTCCGGACTAGTACAAGCAGCCACACCCACACTCACACCCACATTCACACCCACACTCACACCCACATGCACACCCACATGCACATGCGCACACACTATATATATAGAAGTGCAATGATCGTGAACACGTACAACATTACACAACTTTTCACCTCACCTAATCACACTTAGAAGGAGTTACCATACTATGGTAATTACAAGATCTAATTGTCACACGCACAAAAGTTTCTCTGAAATAATGAATGTGCAGCTTGTGAACTCCTTATTTAATGTGTTCCGTATGTGACTAGTTTTCTTGTACACCTTCCACCTTGGTTCGTGTGGTGTACTCACCCATTCAGCCCATTAATTCCTTTACCCCGTGCTACAGAAACATGCAACTCATGTTATCATTAGAGAAACACAAACATTAACCAGGAACTTCTAGATTTGAGTGAGCTCTTTTCACACGACCTTCACCCTCAGTCTGTATTTTGGTTCTGTTCCCTGATTCTCCTAGACTTACTCCATGACACATGGCTGGGCCCTGAACTGTTAGTGTTTCCTCAGCTAAAGAGTTAATTTGTTTGTTTGTTTGTTTGTTTGTTTGTTTGTTTGTTTGTTTGTTTGTTTGTTTGTTGTTTAACGCCACACTCAGCAATATTCCAGCTATATGACGGCGGTCTGTAAATAATCGAGTCTGGACCAGACAATCCAGTGATTGACATCATGAGCATCGATCCACGCAATTGGGATACGATGACATGCATCAACCAAGTAAATGAGCCTGACCACCCGATCCCGTTAGTCGCCTTTTACGACAAGCATAGTCGCCTTTTACGGCAAGCATGGGTTGCTGAAGATCTGTTCTACCCCGGATCCTCACGGGTCTAAAGAGAGTTAAGAAAAGTCACGACCTGACAAATGAACTCGTGGACTCCACAACAAAAGCAGGAAGGAGGGTTTTATACCTGTACGAATTTGACAAAGTGTATGTCCGCATTATACCGAAGTCACAAAGTGACTTGGCCAAATGCGCAATTAACATGTAAGGTGTCCATTAGAGGTGTGTGCACCCCTGCTCCACCACCACACCGTGTTTGAAATGAAATCTATCACCAAAGTGCCATCAGAGTTTAGAATCTGCAGGCCCTGACTAAACTCTTCAGACCCTCATTTAAACAATTGCAGTTTAGTGTGACAAATAAATCCACAGGGAAATCTACTGCGCGAGATCTACTTCATGAGATCCGCACTCCGCTCCTCTGGCTCTCCGCCAGTTTGTTCTGCATCAGTGGAAATGGATTTTTGAATTGTATGCAAAATGCCGACTTTCCCAATACATGATATTCACACAATTTCTTAAGTTTGTTTCGCCTCAACAATAGTTATACGATCAGTTGTTTCCCTTCTCCCAGCAATGGTCACAATGTTCCTCGGTCTTGTTGTTGCAGAAATTGAGGATGTCGTCAATGCCGTGCTGTTCCTGCTCAGTGACAAGGCTGCCATGATAAACGGGAGTCTGCTTCCTATCGATGGCGGCATCCTGGCCAACTGACAGTGACCAGTGAGACAAACCAATGACTGTGAGATGTACAGTCATTGGTTGAAGAATCGGGCGGTGAAGGACAACCAAGAATATGTTATCCAGAATTTAATGAATAATGGTTTGGGTTTCAGAACAAAACTAGGTTCTGAGGTGGCAGCATTAATACATTGTATACTCAGGCTCATTATTGATGGGGCACATAAATAATGAGCGATAAATGTTTAAAAAAATATATTACATTTTCAACTTCCAAGAGAGCAGTTCAGTTCTGGAATGAACCATTTTATACCCACATTGACTGTTACTTGTCATGCATTGCACTGCATGGGCTAAATCACTGGTTGTGTTCTGGCCTGTGTTTTGGGTAGCTTTTTCCATCACCTTCAATCTTGTACTTTTCATTGTTTTTAAAGGTCATTGTCCATTTTTCCAGTTTCATGAAAGCATCCAGTCAGTGTGGCGTATGCATGAACAACATGGTAATCACATTGTCAACATACTCAGATGTATTGAGGCTTGTTGGTATATGTTCATGTTTGACTGGCCCAGTCGTCTAAGGCCATTTGTGCAGAGTCTATTCACTGTGCAGAGATGTATCCCTTGGGCATGCCAGAAATCTATGATTTGTGTATTTAAATCCTGGTTTGCCCCTATTATGTTTCAAGGTTTGTCAGCACCATATCCGTGCTCGTGAATTTCACCAAAGTGGAAAACGTATCCTTCCACATAATAGGCCGTGATATAACTGGAATACTGTTAAAAGCTGTGTCAAACCAAAACTCACTCACACTCACTCATGTTTGACAGCCTACATACCCTTCAATAATGATGCTGAGTATATATATATTATAACAGAACTGAACAAGAGGCTCAGGTCCAACAGCCTCAGTGATACAACAGGGTAAAAGGCCAATGTTTTGTCAAGTTTCATACCTCACCAGAAATGCTATTGAGTAGACCCAATACTTCCTGCACATCAAGTTTCACAGGGATGACTATGGCAATGGTTGACTTGTGGGATAAAACAAAATTAGATTATGTCTTCTGCAGACAAAATTGATAAACGTGTGGCCAAATGCTGGTAAAGGGTCATAGCTTGGTAAAGAAAATCAAAATATGCAAGAAAGAACCATATTATATGTCGTTATCCATACCACACACTGTGTGTCTATGTCATGATACATATTTTCAGAAATGGTTGAGTAGTGGCAGAAAAAACATTTCCAATATGGCTGCCATGGTGGATGAATTTCCTTGTCTGTTACCAAATATTTCTGACTGCTTGCATGTTTGTTAGAGGTGCTGCCACCTATACGGTATGTCAATAGTCGTGTAGCCATGTATCCCCACCTCAGTTTAGAGTTCTCACTGACAATTGATTAGTGGTAAAACAAAGCAAAATTACAAAGTAAGCTAAACATATATGGCATTCCAGTCAAAGTCTGTTTCCTCTTTCTAATGTTTTATCATCAAAATGATATTTAATATCTATCCATACACAAGACATTGCCTATACCTCCGTGATTTGTTGAGTCATTTATTGAGATTTTACAGTCCCTTCTATCAGTATTGTATGCAGCAAAACCCTGTTAATCCTCAAGGTCCTGTTCCTTTTCGAATTGCCTGGATTAAAGGAAGCCATCAATGGATTCCTAAAGACTGGAAGCCATCAAGTAACATATGACATCATAAGTTACAATGGAATTCCCTTTTTGAGAAATTCCCAAATTTCCATATTGACAAATCCTGAATACAGTTTTATCCTTTTGATATTGAACAGATGTTTGGACAGTAACCATGAAGGCAAGGTTTCTGGACTTACAAGGTTTGGGGGACAAGGTTTCGTTGTACATGATAATGGTCGCCCCAGGCGTCTCTGATTTTAATGAGATTGCCCCAAGTGAGAGTACATTCTTTTCATGTATTTATGGACTGCCTTTTACCATGTTTACCAAAAGATAATTAAACTGTGATCATTTTTAGATTCTGTTTATCATATTTTATTCATGTCTGAAGGGACAATTTATTGACATGGGCAACACATGTTGATTGTGTTCTTAAACAGGGAGCACACAGGTCACTCTGTGATTGTCAAGAGTACTGTGTGTAACAATGTTGTAGTTGGCAATATCTTTGCAACATCACAGCTGCTAAGTTGGGCCGGAGCAGAAACCTGTGAGCATGTGTTTGTTTGTTTGTTTGTTTGTTTGTTTGTTGTTTGAACGCCGCATGATTTCAGCTTTATGATGGCGGTCTTTAAAAAATCAAGTCTGGACCAAACCACCCTGTGATTGACATCATGAGCATCAATCCACGCAATTGGGATATGATGACATGCATCAACCAACTCGGCGAGTCTGACAACCTGATCCCATTAGTCGCCTCTTACGGCAGGCATGGGTTGCTGAAGACCTATTCTAACAGGGGCCACAGTATGATATGATGACACAGTAATATTGACACCTGTGTCAGAAAACAACATTAGCTCACTTTACCATAGGGCCTAGCCTAGTGGTTAAAGCGTTCGCTCGTCACGCCGAAGACCCGGGTTCGATTCCCGACATGGGTACAATGTGTGAAGCCCATTTCTGGTGTCCCCCGCCGTGATATTGCTGGAATATTGCTAAAAGCGGCATAAAACCAAACTCACTCACTCACTCACTTTACCATAGACTGCTGTGTTGTAGGCCTGGGGCACAAAACAAGATCACTCACTCGCTTGATCACCAGAATGCGTTCCAACATCAGAGTTTAAAATAAATGTAGTTCACATTTTCATGTGGACTCGTCTCGGTCCTCAACCACTCTGGCCAGAATTCCTAATCATTTGGTTTAGCAGTCTTTCCTGCAGGTAAAAACTGCTGGTGGGCTTCATAGTAAAACACAGCCAGCCACACTAGACAGCCATTGTGTCCATCTGATCACCCGTTACCATAAGTGGGAAATTAGATGATTTCTAAACATGTATAAAACAGAAAAAAAGTAAATGTGCTTCATATAAAGTTCAATAAATATTAATTTATTCTGAAATGAAAGTGATGCATCTTTCAATACATAAACATCAAGACATCTTGATTCACAACTTGCACATGGGTATTGTGCAAACAGGAATGGCCCTAAACAAGAGTGCCAGACATTTTAATGTTCAAATGTAATTCATGTATCATATTTTTGAAGACATTATCTACAGCAGGGCAACTCTCATGACTTACCACGGGGGCAAGGGTGGCCCAGTCGTCTAAGGCGCCTCAATTCGCTATGCAGAGTTGCATCCCTTGGGCACGCCAGAAACCTATGATTTTTGGTTCGAATCCCGGTTCGCCCCGATTATGTTTCTAGGTTTGTCAGCACCATACCCGTGCTCGTGGGTTTCACCGAAGTGGTAAACGTCTGAGACCTGCATCACTTTGGGCTTTCCTCCCACGTTAAGCTGACACGCCGTGATATAACTGGAATACTGTTAAAAGCGTCGTTAAACCAAACTCACTCACTCACTCACTCACTCATGACTTGCCACAGGCTGGTCATCCATGTGTGATGTCATGGGAGAACGCAACATCACATTGCAACAGGATAATGTCCATCCACATGTTGCACGTGTTGCAACAGACTTTTAATGGCAGCATAACATTGCTGTACTGCCATAGCCGTCTGTTTCTTTTGATCTCTCCATCACAGAACATGTCTGGGATGTGATGAAACAAAGCCTACGACAGGACCAGAACCAGCCAGTAACACAAGCTCAGTTGGGCCAATCTTTGGTTGACATTTGGAACATCCCCAGGAGGCTGTTTTTAAACAACAAGTTCTGTGTCTTCAATGGGCCGCCACTGCGTCACCTGTATCAACGCATATGGTGGTCACACCCAGTACTGACACTGTCTATTAAGCTGTAAAACAACCCCTCGTTTAGGGCATGTGCATCTGTCTCCTGTAATAGCAATATGGGTTTTGTTAATGAATTTGACAACAAAGGACCAAATCATAATATTTCTACCACTTTATATGAAGCACCGTTACTTTTTTCCACTGGTATACTATGGGAAGGTACAAAATGTACATGACACAGATTCTCCCAGCACCAGTCAAGTTGAAGGCACCCAGTGGATAAGTGCATGAGCAAACACTTTGATCAGTTGATAACAGGGACTTTACTAGACAAACGCCCACTTCTATAGATTTCAAAAGTTGAAGGAAACATAAGTAAGCTAATGTCCTCACAACTAATAACAATTAACAGTGACCGTAGAACCCTTAGAACTACATTCCTCAAGTCTATGTAGAATTAACCTTATTTAAAAAATCTTGTAATAAATGAATATTAACACACAAGACGTCACATTGCATTATCACAGAAATACTTTATTAAAAAAAATGATAATACATTCAAATAGTTGTTGAAACACAGAATCTTCTCTCTATTACACAACAACAAAAATTACATCCAGATATGTTGGACTTGATAGTACCATAGTCATAAGCCACACACACACACACACACACACACACACACACACACACACACACACACACACACACACACACACACACACACACACACACACACACACACACACACACACACACACACACACACACACACTACACACACACACAACACCACCAAAGAGTATTATGTTTCTGGTCCCCGCCCGTGTCCTGATTTTTTACCAAGGGCAGGTAACTCTAACCTGCTTTCCCAAAAAGGAACCTACAAACAGTACTTGAAGCACGATGTGTGTTGTTTCTGTGCAGGTTGTGTGTGTGTTGTTTCTGTGCAGGTTGTGTGTGTGTGAAAGATTGTAAGTCCTCTTAGGCTTGTCGAGTTCAGTTCAGACATCACTTTACTGAACTTTTATGAATCGCAGTGAAAAGGGCAAGTACGTATTTCCTACTAAACATGGAGATTGGTAATGTCATGCAATTGAGCTTTTCTAGAAAAAAAAAAGAAGAAAAATCTTCATTTCAGGCCAAACTAAATGACCAGAACCATAATACTTTTTGTGAGGGGCCATAGATTACGTCTCATGACTTCACCATTCTTACCATAAGCCTATCCCATCTAACCAGCACACAAACAGGTAGGGTTTGCTAAACTAGAACAACTGAAGTAGGCCCATCACTGCCCTTCCGAATAACGCAAAACACAACAACACTTTTGATTGGTCAGTCACTCCACGATACATATCCATCCCATGATGAAGCATGAAGAAAAACAGGTGACACGACACAATAGATAGAGGATAAGTGCGAGTACATTGCTGGGGCAAACAGAAACTGCCTCAAAACAACGTGTAACAATGTGAAACAATGCCAAGCCATCGCCAATACTTCATGGGTTCATATACACTTCATTCCTTCATCACCTGTGAATACATATGGCCTCCCCAGTGCTCGGACCACTGGCAGATCAAGAGGACCCCTCATTTTGTTCATGATTACATGTTAACTGCGTCCTCGTAACTTGGGTAGTATGAGCACCACCACTTTATCCCACTGCTGTACCCGCCTCGCCAGACCGGTGAGACTCCGACTACATGGCAATGTTTCTGGTGGAAGGTGTGCTGTACTCCAGCAATCTACTCCAAACACTGGTTCAATATCGAGCAACATTAGGATTTGTACAAAGTTCATGCACGGAGTCGGGCACATTTGACTTCCGGCAGTTATACACAGCCTCCTTCATTACCTGAATGCCATAGGCCTGCATCACTACAACACTGCAGGAACAGTGGGGTAGCCTAGTGGTTAAAGCATTCGTGGGGCGGTCGGGTAGCCTAGTGGTTAAAGCGTTCGCTCGCCACGCCGAAGGCCCGGGTTCGATTCCCGACATGGGTACAATGTGTGAAGCCCATTTCTGGTGTCTCCCGCTGTGATATTGCTGGAATATTGCTTAAAGCGGCGTAAAACCATACTCACTCACTCACTCACTAAAGCATTCGTTCGTCACGCCGAAGACCCAGGTCAGATTCCCCTCATGGGTACAATGTATGAAGCCTATTTCTGGTGTCTCCCGCCGTGATGTTGCTGGAATATTGCTAAAAGCAGCATAAACCCATACTCTCACCACAACACTGCAAAGCATCCATAAGTATTCACAGGTGATGTAGGAACACAGTGGAGTATTGATGATGAAGCTGAGCTTGTTTTCGTGAGCAGCAGACCCTGTACACTCCAAGGTACTGTCACAAGTTCTGTCTACTTAACCACAGCTGTATATCCTGTTTTACATAAACTACATATGTAGCACACAATATAGGGTCTATGTATGTTTATGAGGATAGAAATTTTCGCAACATGATCAATACAGCATGCAGCAGTGCTTGAATATATTTTACATTAAAATGGCATAGCATACTTGAAGCTATTGCCGAAGTTTAAAGGAATTACAGCCATGTAATAAGGAGAGAGAGAATCTCATTATGTTGTATTAATTAATACACTCTGCAAAAATGGAAACACAAAAGTAGTAAAATTGTAAATATCTGACAGTATCGCCAACATCCATACAACAATAATACCAAAAAGGAATTGGTAATTTCTGCATGGATTGGGCTGATTTGTGTAGAAAGAATGAGGTACTGCAGAAATTTTGGAGAAAAGATGGAAAATCGCAAAAACAAAACCACGTGAGAGCCTGTCGCCATCACACACCAACACAACATCACTTGTTGGGCTATAAAAACGTTGGGTTTTCATGTGCATGCTATCAGAGTGAACAGCAAACACATGCCACAACTAATGGAAGCCCAACACAACAACGCCATCAGCCAACACTGCAATCAGGAGAATCATCTTCAGCTGTAGCCAGGTTTTTCCACGTAGCACCAAGACCCATTACAAGACTGGAACCGTTATCAGACACACGGGACAACATGGGACCACTCCGGATCCGGTCGACCACGTATCACTATTACAGCACATGACAGATTCATATGGCTACATCACTTACATGAAAGAACCAGCATGGCCACCTCTACAACTGCGGCAATACCAGGATTGCATTGGATATCAGCCCAGGCAGTATGGAACCAATTATTTGTATTTGTGTTCGACGACCAGTTCGAGGCGTCATTTTGACGAACATGCATCAATGGCCGCGACGTCAATGGTGTCAAGGTCACAGAGCATGGCCACAACTGCGATGGAGACAAGAATAGTGACGAGACACGTTTCATGCCTTGCCGTGCGGATGGTAGAAGTTGTGTTTACAGGCGTCGCGGGGAACGTTATGCACAAAACTGCATACAGGAAATGGACATATTTGGTGGTGCTAGTGTCATGATGTAGACAGCCATCTCCTACATGTATATTAAAGGCTTAAAGAAATTTAAATACATACAAATATCTTCCAGAAATTAGCAACAACCATTTCTTTCGTAAAAACTACCAAAATGACTTTCTGTTGTTGAAAAAATGACTTCCCTTTCAAAGAAAGCAGCCACAAAAAATGCTAAATTGTGAGGTCTTGAACGTGTGGTGAGGTGAAATGAGGTTTAATGTAGGGCTGGGACAGGTTCCTCGGGTCCTCAAGTCAGTGGGATACTAAGTAGGACCCAGGTACCCGTGAATACACTACTCCGTGAATACACTACAGGTCACGAATATTCACAAAAAATTTCGGACTATTCACACATTCCTTCTGACTTTTGAATAAAGATAAAGCTTCAATCAAATTCAGTTATGCATGACCAGATCATTTTATAGCGAACCTAAATACTTTTTGCCCGGGCTCAGGTCAAACAATTCCCTATCGTACACTTTGTACCAATCTCTTGATACCTACAACAGGTACCCGGGTAGGGTGAGGTAATAGGAGGTTTGGTGTAGTACATTTGGACCCGTCCCAGCCCTAGTTTAATGTGTGTTCACGATTATTGCACTCACATAGCGACATGCATGCACATGTGTATGACAGATTGTAGTAGTCTGAGATACCACAGACACGTTACAATGAGTCCTTGACTTATCCCCATAATGCCAAGTGCCAGGCAGGGTAACATCAGTTGTCTCAGCAAGGGAATTTTCTCATCTTGATTCCAAATATACAGACATAGATCTATGTCATGATAAGTCATCACTATTATCCAGGAGACCGTCTTGTGATATTTCAAAGTCATCAGTAACCAGCGGAGTTGATAGTAGCTCAAGGTTGTCAGAGTTACCTCCCTCTAATGCTGTTTCGTCTGATTGACATGGAGAGGTTTCACGTCTATCTGTGTCTGTGTTGACGATCAGCTCACCAGGGTCGGGCAGGATACTTGTGTGAGATGTCAGTTTCTCAAGGATACGGATTATCTAAGGAAAAAAATGTTCATAGTAATCTCTTTGGTACTATTGTTCTTGTTGTGTAGTGTTTGTTGTTTAACGCCACACTCACAGGTATTCCAGCGATATTATGGCGGTCTGAAAATAATTGAGTCCAGACCAGACAATATAGTGATTAACATCATGAGCATCGATCTACGCAATTGGGAGATGATGACATGCATCAACCAAGTCAGCGGGACCTACCCGACCCTGTTAGTCGCTTTTCAGGCATGTACGGGTTGCTAGAGACCTATTCTAACCTGGATCTTCACGGGTCTGTAGTAAAATATTGCTAAATACCTCATACATAAGTGATACAATTTAAAGTATTTACTTACTCATTCTCTGATTACTAATTACTTTCCACTTCGTATGTCTCAAATAGAAGACACAAGGATTTAAGGTTTTGGACCTACAAGACCCACAAAATTAACTGGACAGTCATTCGATCATGCAACGACCTTGACCTACCTTCCTGGCCTTGGAGTGAGGTGGGCCAGTCCAGTGCCCATGGACTGCCAGTAGACTTTGTTCACTAGTCGAGACCAAGTATTCAAGGTTAACCAAGTCAGATCGCAAGTAGGTCTCAAGAAGAAGCATACTTTTCTGGAACGGCACAAACAGAACTCGTAAAACTTTGTTATCTCAGACTCCATTATCTTGCTACATCACTAAGATGACGCAAGCACAGATACAACAAGGGAAAACAAGGTGATCATTTTGAGACCACAAGTTGTAATACAAACAGTGCAGATAGCAATTTGTTTGGTACCTGTAGTGTTGTTTTTGTTGAAATGATCTAGATAGGAAGTAATCCCTGTACACCTGTACATATCCGATTGCCTAAACATTCCATGTATACATGTTGTTTCTGTGTCTCCTCCTGCAATAGCAATGTGATGTAACTTTCCTATCCTGGCACGATCCTTATGTCGGTAACATTGAATATCAGCACTCAGCCTCCGTGGAAACACAGGTAACTCAGCTAATATTGCACTGTCCTACAAGATGAAGGTCAAACTCTATCACTGGGCTGAAACAGGTTTGTCAGAGTCGGACAAAACATTCATCGTGTTCAGTAATCAATGGAATGTGGATATTCTCCATTTACTCTCTCCTTAATACCTATCATTCTTTTCTGTCAGCTTATTCTTAATATAGTAATATTCACAAGCTGGCGAGTTGTAGTATCTGGTAAAAATAGCCACAATGTTGTAGCATATATCGGAATGTAGTTTACAATTCATACCTAAAAAGTATTTCCAGTCAAACTACAGCATGACACCTTCAGACAGACAATATGAACATGAGCAATGAGTTGTCAATAGGTTACATATTTCCCCAGCTACATACTGTTGACAAGAATCTTCCAGGGTATACAAGGTGTTACACAGAAATACTGAATTGCCTTCAGATACGGTCCAGAAACAAGACTCAATCTTCAACAGCAAATGACACACCAAAACATTCCTACTGTTTGTACGTTTCATGAAGATATACTACGCAATAGAAGTTAAGGATCACCCGATTCTTTCATAATGGTAAAGTTAATCTGTCATGACATGAGAGATTAACTATAGTAATATGAAAGAATCAGGTGATCCTTAACTTCTTTTGAGTAGTATATATTAAATTCTATCATAGCTCTGTTACATAAACACTTGAGGGTAAGTTGAACTTTAACCCCTAGACTGCTTGTCACAACTGTTGTCAAGCAGGAAGCAGGAAAATGACTTTCAAACATCGGCAGGGATGTGTCAACAATCACTGGATCTGAAGCTTGAACAAGCAACATATTGTGAGTGACAGAAACATGGACGTGGAGCCCCTACCATGATGACAGGTTCCTGGTCAGATGTGAGTCTCTGGATGATGAAGTCAAGCACCTTCTCGGAGTTGAGCCTGGAACATCGTCTTTGGAACACTGCCAACTGGGACTGGGTCAGGAGAAGACAGCTTGGATCATCCACGATGGACGTCACAAGGTTCTCCTCTGTGCTCCAGTCGGCTAAGGTCACGGACTCAAGTCTAAAACAGAGGACAGTGTTTAAGAGAATCTGTTTCTCTTATAAATAACAATTTACCAACATTTGGAGATAGTGAGTTCGGAATAGCGCAACATAGAACAGTTTTCCAGTTATATCAGCATGTCAGCTTAATGTGGGAGTGAGGGAGTAATTTTTGCTTAACGCCACATCAGCAATCTTGCAGCTAGTTCCTGGTGGTAATGTGGGAGTAAAGCCAAAAGTGATGCAGGTTTTAGAAGTTTGCTTTGGGGAAACTTGCAAGAACGGATATGTTGCTGACAAACTTAGATACATCATCAGGGCGAACAGGGATTCAAACCCATGATCATAGGTTTCTGGCGTGCACAAGGGATGCAACTCTGCACAGCAAATTGCAGGGGCTAAGTGAGTGAGTGAGTATGGTTTTACGCCGCTTTTAGCAATATTCCAGCAATATCACGGCGGGGGACACCAGAAATGGGCTTCACACATTGTACCCATGTCGGGAATCGAATCCGGGTCTTAGGCGTGACGAGCGAACGCTTTAACCACTAGGCTACCCGACCGCCCCTTGCAGCGGCTAAGATGACAGGTCCATGTCCCCCACCCTCTTGCTGTTTGAAATTAGAATGAGTGGATGAATGCATCTTGTAGTCATCTATGTAGCAGCTACACCATGGGTCATAGGGCAGTGTCAATCAAGGAGCCATGGTGTGAACAGTCCTCCAAGCTGTTGATTCAACATATCTCGTGGTAATTCATTGTAGCATCTTCAAAATTGGCAGCTATTGTGACCATGTAATTTGGCCAAGCATGAGGTATTGAGGACGTATTCTGTTGTGTAATCCACACAGTGTAATACAGATTGGGTCATGTCACCTGGTGGCAAAAGCTGCGTCAGTAACATGGGGCTGCTTGTGTGAGACACGGCCGACATGACCCTGGCTGATCCACAGACATCCAGTAGTTCACTAATCTTGTTGATCTTCTGTCATCACCTGTGCAGCAACTGGGGATTATCTGTGTGTCACCTGTGCATCACTTGTGTGTCACCTGTGCATCATCTGTGTGTTGTAGGTGTGTCACCTGTGCATCACCTGTGTGTCGTAGGTGTGTCACCTGTGCATCACCTGTGTGTTGTAGGTGTGTCACCTGTGCATCATCTGTGTGTTGTAGGTGTGTCACCTGTGCATCACCTGTGTGTTGTAGGTGTGTCACCTGTGCATCACCTGTGTGTTGTAGGTGTGTCACCTGTGCATCACCTGTGTGTTGTAGGTGTGTCACCTGTGCATCACTTGTGTGTCACCTGTGCATTGCCTGTGTGTTGCCTGTGTGTCACCTGTGCATCACTTGTGTGTCACCTGTGCATTACCTGTGTGTTGTAGGTGTGTCACCTGTGCATCAATTGTGGATTACATGTGCATCACCTGTGTTATAGGTGTGCCACCTTTGAATTACCTGTGAACCACCTGTGCTACCTGTGCATCACTAGTGTGTCACCTGTGCATCACCTGTGTGTCATAGGTGTGTTACCTGTGTTTCTCCTGTGTGTCACCTGTGCATTGCCTGTGCATCACTTGTGTGTCACCTGTGCATCACCTGTGCATTGCCTGTGTCACCTGTGTGTCACTTGTGTGTAACCTGTGCATCACCTGTGTGTCGCCTGTGTCGCCTGTGTCACCAGTGCATCACCAGTGCATCACCTGTGTGTCGCCTGTGCATCACCAGTGCATCACCTGTGTGTTGCCTGTGCATCACCTCTGTGTCGCCTGTGCATCACCAGTGCATCGCCTGTGCATCACCTGTGCATCGCCTTTGTGTGTCACCTGTGTACGTCTCACCTGAGAATGACAATGTGCACAACTGACCTGTCCGCTAGGTCCGAGCTGCCTCCACTGTCCGAGTGTTTCTTGTGAGAGCCCCGGGATGGTGTGGGTGGGTCGTCGTCCCAACCCCCTCCAGCTTTCCCTGGGACATGCTTTGGGGGTGCTGGAGAGATATATTAGTAGTCTTATCTTTCTCTATTGTACACACATAATCATGATAATAATCACATGAACTTAAATTTTGAGTTTGGTTGAATGTTGCCTTGAACAGTATTTCAGTTGTATCATATCATGTAAACTTGTAGGAGGAAAGTCCAAAGTGATACAGGTCTTACACGCTGAGTACCTTGATGAAATCCACGAGCACAAGTATGATCCTGACAAAGTTGAAACATAATCAGGGGATTCTGGGATTCAAAGCAACGATAATACTGGTAGGTTTCAGGCATGCCTAAGGGAAGCAACTCTACACAATCTCTATGGTCTCATGAAAGATTACTTGAAATAATTGCAACATAATAATTAATAATAATAGTTTGAACTGTTGTACAGTTTGTGGGATAAATTGTTTTAAAATGATCATTCCCCAAATCTTATCATCAAGAAGGTATGTTTTTACTACTCTTTTAGCAATACTGCAGCCAGGGAACATCAAGAATGGGCTTCCTATATTCTAGTATCTGAACACACAGGGGGAATCGAACCCATGACAAGCCAGCACTTTAACCACTCGACCATCCTACCACCCTACTAACTACCAACCACTGATGGATGGATCAGGGTATTGTGGTATTTCAACGAATCAGTCACCACTTCCTAATAAATACTGGGATTTCAGTAGAATTCCTTCAATCGGAGTACTACATTCGCCGTAAAAGGCGCTCTGGGCACTTAGAAAATAGACAAATTGGGGTGCTTAGAAATACTATAAACTGTGAATTAACTTTGTTGTCAGAGATCAAGTTGTTAAGAGGAAAATAAGTACAAATCGTTACTAGGCAAATAGAATTAATGCTACACTGCTGTATCTTTTAAAAAAATCTGTAATATACAGTTACACAAGAAAATACAGACTGTCAGGGGTTTTTTTCACTTTAAGTACGGGTAATTATGAAGGTGAAATGGGGTTTAACGTCGCATCCAAGATTATTGCACTTATATAGCTACGTGCATGTACGTGTGTGTGTTTGTGTGGCTGCTTGTACTAGTCCGGACTGATGCCGATTTATAGTGCTAGCTCACTGAGACACCATGCTGCAGTTTAACATGAATACCCCACTCAGACACAGTATACTGACTCCGAGCCGACCAGTCCTTGTTTTAGCCCCTTAATGCTGAGCGCCAGACAGGGTAACAACAAGTACCATCTTTTAACGTCTTTTGGTATGACGTGGCTGGGGATCGAACTCCGGACCTTCCGCTCTCCGGGCAGACGCTCTACCACTAGACCACGGAGGCGGTCGTAATTATAAAGATTACTTTCAGATTGGTCTAGATTATGGTCAGGGAGTGCTGATAGAGTAGGTTGTTTAATACGGCAACCAATGTAACTACAGTACTTTAAGTAAATAGACAATGAACTTACTTTTCTTAACAGGTGATGTGATGGGTAGAGGTACTGTCACGTCGGTTGTGATTGGATCCGGGCTCATGATGACTGGAGGTTGGTACTGCCCACTGCTTCCATCCAGGTTGGCAAGCACCACCCTCTGTCGGTCCGAATCTGTCTCCGCCATCTTCTCAGCTATCCTGCTGATGCCATCGATGATTGTGTCCCCCAGGGATTCTAGGCAGAGTTACCCATCATTCTTAGGGACACTGATATGGATGGTTTTGTGTATTGTGTAAAACTACAGTCTTTTTGTTTATTTGTTGTTTCAGGCCGCACTCAGCTATATGATGTCAGTCTGTAATATCCAACGATTGACATTTTGAGCATCAATCCACACAATTGGGATACGTTGACATGCTTCAACCAAGTCAGCAAGCCTGACCACCCGATACTGTTAGTCACCTCTTACGACAAGCATAGTCGCCTTATATGGCCAGCATGGGTTGTTGAAGACCTATTCTAACCCGGATATTCACGGGACGTACCTGACAGTAAAGTTGTACATCCATGAATTGCATTACAAAAGTATTATGAGTCAACCACAGCCTTTAATAACCTTGCCAGAATGAGATTACTCACATAAAACTAATGAGAAGTATACTCCCCAGGGAGCTGAGAATGCAATTTGAAGAAAATACTTGGTTTTTGTTTAATGCTGCACTCAGCAATATACCAGCTATATGACAGCAGCCTGTAAAAAATCAGTCCAGAACAGACAAACTAGTGACCGATATTATTAGCAAAGATCCATGATGTCCATGTGTAATGACATGCTCTGAAGCAAGTCATCGAGCCTGACCACCAGATCCCGTTAGTCGTCTAATATAAGCTTAGCTTGCTGGGGACCTATACCTGGTATCCCTGTGAGGACAGTGACTACTTGCCTTTAATATCAAATATACAGATACATCGACATTTGCCAATGTTTGTTATATCTCCGACAATACTTCTCTGAATCTATTGGATAGTACACTAGAAGATAGGTAAACAGCACATGCTTTAATGAATTTAGTTCTTGATTTCTTTATCTTAAAGATGTTAAAAAGTGTTGCTTTGTTTTGCTTTTCTCCACCTGTCTTCACCTATTTTTCAGATTAAAATCTGTAACCATTTCATCAAATTAGTCTGATATCTAAAATTGTGAAATCTTTCAATCAAAAACAAATATGGTAAGAAACAAATAACATGCATATGATTTTCAAGAAAGCAATAACTTTCCCAATCATTAACCACTAATTAATGTCTCCAGTGCCATAAAATACTTAAGTCAGAATAGTTTGACAGGACCAAACAAATACTTCACCAAACAAAAGCTGACACACCCTGGCCATGCATGAAATATGTATATAACATAGGTACGCGATATACCACAGAGAACAATGAAGAACAAAGTGTGGTTTATTTCACGATAAAACATTGTTCTATCATGACGTCTTTACTGGGGATTCGAACATGGGCTCGCAACTTGATCACGTCGTATATTGGACGTTATTTTTGAGAGGGGAGTGTCTAGTGAGTTGTTCCCAATAGATGTAGCTGGGCAATGCAGATGAATGTGATGGCTGAACAATCGCATCCAAAAGCGAGAGAGATATGACGACTGTCATTGGGAGAAAAGGTACAGGTAATCGACATAAGGATTGTGAGAATATGCGGGAATACCTACCTGTGCATAATATGAACTCGACATTGCCGAGGTCAGATTCCATTGTGGCAGTCATCATTATTAAAATATGGGTAAATATTTTTTCAAGCTTTTACATTTCATCATCATCCTTAAAGAGGCTGTTCATAATGTTGATATCTCATATAAGAAATAAACGACTCGTGGTCGTTGTTTATCATGGTTTATTCTCCCTGCAGTGTTTTAGTGTACGATAAACAACTCCCACTCTTCGTTTATTTCTGAAATATGATGAAGACAAAAGTTGTAAAACCACAATGAAAGAAGAGATGAAGAGGCCCATAGTCTAATCCATACCTGCTGCGTCCCTCAATTTCCATGAAGTAGCTTTGAAAATGATTACATAATACACATCACTTTAATCACTGGAAATAAATTATTTATTATCTACAATATTCAGTTTGTTACTTGTGAATAAACTCTATTTGTTAAAATCAACGTAGGTGAAGACATTTTGAAAATAAGATGCCGTGTAACTTTAACCTTCTCAGTCACTGAACACACATTTCTCAGTCACTGAACACACATTTCTCAGTCACTGAACACCTATTTCTCAGTCACTGAACACGCATTTCTCAGTCACTGAACACACATTTCTCAGTCACAGAACACACATTTCTCAGTCACTGAACACACATTTCTCAGTCACTGAACACACATTTCTCAGTCACTGAACACACATTTCTCAGTCACAGAACACACATTTCTCAGTCACTGGACACACATTTCTCAGTCACAGAACACACATTTCTCAGTCACAGAACACACCTTTCTCAGTCACAGAACACACATTTCTTAGTCACTGAACACACATTTCTCAGTCACAGAACACACATTTCTCAGTCACTGAACACACATTTCTCAGTCACAGAACACACATTTCTCAGTCATTGGACACACATTTCTCAGCCATTGTTAATAAGTCATATATATGTATTCTATGTAACCTGCAAAGTAAATCAGAATTTTGACTTCTTAGAATAAAAGAAAACAATTATCATAATCTTACTTGGTTGATTCTGTGGGGAGTTACCAAATCCTTCCATTTTGCCCGAATTGGAAGAAGGGCCAAGTCCCACTGCAACAGAAGAATGAGACATTATCAAGTTTGGTGAAACCTACGAGCACGGGGATGGTGCTGACAAACCTAGAAGCACAATCGGGGCAAACAAGGATTCGTAGCCATGACCCGGTTTCTTGCATGCCCAAGGGGCGCAACTTTGCACAGCAGACTGCGGAGCCTTGGACAACTGGGCGACCAATGCCCCTCTTAACATGAGTATATGCTTGAATAAAGACATCATAATGCTGAGAGTTTACGTCATATTGTCATCACACCAACCCCAGTGAATAATTTCCATCTATCATGATTTGAAATTAACATGATTCAAGAGGATGTACAGGCTCCAATTCTGTCCCTTTACTGATGCTCTTTATTGGTGAATTTTATCAAACTAAATGCATTATGCAACTAAATATTTTGAACTTAATCATATCTAATATTTTCATATTTACACTGACATAACATTTATAAGAGCTTATACCTTTAGAAGCATAACAAAAAATCTTACTCATAGCCTTAGGAGATGGTCTTGCTGGAGTTGTCTCCCCTTTTCTTGAGTTGCTTGATTCCTCAACCTCAAACAAAACTTCACAAAGTTCCTATGGGAGGAAAATGTACAGACATGTAACCATGGTAACTGCTATGAGCTGAAAAAACATCTGGTTTAAAAATACAAAATCAAAAACTTCTATCATAATGATTTTTGTAGACCAACTATTTGACTGGATCAGGAGATGTGTTTATATTTACAAGTCATATACAGGGATGTGAATGGCTTTTTTTTAAAAAACACTCAAAGTCAGCTATGGTTCTGGGGTACTATATGAGTTATGCATATAAACTACGGTTACAATGAACCCAAAGGGATCACTAAATGTAGTTTACTGTATTGTAATGGCAAGTATTCCAAAAGTAACCCTTGATGTACATGATGTACCGGCAACAAAAGTCATGAAAAATTCCCATCCCTGTATATGAATCCAATATCATAACTCGGTTTGGATCACAGGGCAGAATATATCCCTAATACATCATGTTCAAGCCAACTAAATAGCAAAATGGGGATCAAGTGGCCACAATGGCTGCCACCTATGAACAGAGAGCACCTGGATCATCAAACACCAGGCTTATTGTATCATTGTACCCAGTGGATTGAATGGATGCTGACAGTAATACAGACCCCAAGTAAACCTGATTCACTCACTCACTCACTCACTGACAAGAGGTGGAGTACCAACCTGAGCTACTTTCCTGACCATGATGTAGGGTATGTTGCCATGCAGTGGGTCGGGCGGTCCGCCATACTCTGAAACACAATCACACTAGCAAACTGACAACAGTTAGAGATGGGCCCAACCTTCATAATGTGTTTGGGGGATTGAAATTCTTTTCCATTATCCTTTGATTAAACATGGTAATATACCAATCTCACTATTGATTTATTATGTCACAAATATCCAACACTACGGCACTAAGACTGAATTTTTCACTAGTTGGTACATTAAATGTTATACAGAAGGTCAAAAGAGTGAAAATATGCAAAGAAAATGTAATATATATAATGTATACTACAGGGCATACCACATATGTACTGAATGTTACATTCTACAATCACACATGGGTCACATTCTGTGAGCAATGCTTAGAGACACGATCTTTGAAAATCATTCATACAAAGTGTCAGCTATATATGGCATCAAAAATGTATTTTTCTTAGCTCGAACTCCTGTCAGTTTAGGTGAGCTAAAACAAGTCATTTTATCATCCTCATCAACAATTATCTGCTTGTACCTGGTGTAGTCAGGTACCCCCTGGTGTAGTCAGGTCCCCCCTGGTACTCACTTGTTGCTGCCCTCACCCCTCGGGCTGTCCTCATCAGACCCGCCTTAAAGTTGGGGTGGCCGTTGTCCACCGTGTACCGCATCACCTTCAGCACCTACAGGAGATTAATAACCTTCATCTTGTTTGTTTGTTGTTTTATGCCACACTCTGCAATAGTCCAGCTATATTCCTGGCGGTCTGTAAATAATCGAGTCTGGATCAGACAATCCAGTGACTGACATCATGAGCATTGATCTACACAATTGGGATACAATGACATGCATCAACCAAGTCAGCAGGACTGTCCACCTGACCCCATTAGTCGCCTCTTACAACAAGCATGGCTGCCTTTTAAAACCAGAATGTGTTGGTGAAGACCTGTTTCATCCCAGATCTTCATTTCATTATTCAAACTGTGATCAAACAAATTGACTAAGCTGTCACTTGTCAATTCAAATCTAATATTCTCAGACCAATGCAAAGAGGCAACCTTCTGCAGTTGTGGATTATTACTAAGCACAGCACAGTGTACTGAAGATTACCTTCAGTTTCACATGGTAGGAGTTCTTCTCCAGACGGTCCACCAGGTACTCCAGCAGACTCTCGCAGTAGCCGACAGACTCGTGGCTGATCCCTGACATAAACAAGAAACATTGTACAACCCTAGGCCATCTCGAACATGTCTTCGATGGGAGAATCATGTAAGACACTGACACAGACTGATTACTAATATCAAGAAAGATTCTCACATGAAACTGTGTATCATCTTCTTCAATGAATAGTGTCCTTGGCTTTCACTACAATCTCTGTTCTACAACTTAGTTTTTCTGTCTGCCCTGTTTTACAACATATTGTTTTTTATGGAAAGTCATTTAACTTCTTCATACTGTCCATTTATGTTACCTAGTTAAATGTTCCAATATGCCAAGACATGAAATCACCAACATGATCACCACCTTTTTCCATATGTTCAGAAATTAAAACAATCAGGTTCTACTGTCTCATGATAATTCCACAAACTTTCAAACCTCTTGGTGAAACTTCACAGGAGTATATAATCCTTTTCACCATGTGACAATACGAAACATAGAAAGCCATTTGAAATACAGTAAACTACGTTTATAACGAACACGCTTATAACGAACTGACGGATATAACGAACTTACTTTTTTGTCCCAACTATTTGCTGTAGTTATGCTGTATATATGCTTATAACGAACTAGGGTTATAACGAACTAAAATTAGTGGTCCTGTTGAGTTCTTTATAACCATAGTTTACTGTACATGAGATCTTTTACTGTTATACAATCCTCTCTGAGTGAAGATCTGAGACACTCCTACTTCATGTCGGGTGAACTCCCTAATCAGCTAATCAGCGTCAAGGCTTCTATATTCTCGGTAAGATTGAGTATAACAACTAGACAAGCATATCTAGAAAATGAATATGACCAGGGAGCTCTGAGAGCAAAAAATAAAGGTGTGCTATTACATATTCTGTCATTTCTGAGCACTGTGGCATCTACACCCCATAGGGAGGGTACATTTGTGCTCTGTGGCGGTCTTCTGTTTCTAATATTAAAATGTCAAAATCGAGGTGGTTAAGAAATTATGCCAAATTATTTTAGAAATCTGACACCTGATAAGCAAAAGAACACACATCCTTCGTTTAGGCTTGACGTTTAAAGTCTGTAGAGGGTTCACCTGACGTGACCTTCTATGAAGGTGCCCTTCGATCTTCACATTGGATTTAAGGATCTGCTGTTATGGTATTGATTTTTTTTCCATAATATTCTAACATTAACATTGACTACAAAAAGTTAAATCCTGCACACCACTGATCTCATTGTACAGGTATCCCGGTATCGGCTTGTCGTCATCGGAGGTGGCCTTCAGCAGGGTGCTGATCTGAAATGCACAAAAAAGGTTTTATTCCAAATAGATGATATTTACAAGCTAGTGTTATCTATTTGAAAAAGCCCCAACTCTTATAAATCCCTTTCAACTCCGATTAAGATGCCATTTGAAACTGGTGTTTCACAACAGTACTGTGTCGGTGCGAATATTTAACTTCTATAGAATTTTACATCTGATAAATTATGTGTGGTGTGACAGCTGTAGACAGCTGTAGACAGCTGCATGTCTATTTCTGTCAGCTGTCATTGAGACAAAAGTCATAGTGGAAACTGATTTACGAAGGAACAGTCTTACACTCAACTAAATTGTTCTGTTGAATACAAAAATAATATACCATAGCACTTGTATGTAAAACAACTTCATTTCCATTTATTCAAACCTTATTCACAAATGATATTCGTTGAGAAACCAGGTTCACTGATTCTGGGCTGTTCATTGCAGGTACTCTTCTTTTGCGTTTGGAGATAGTAAAGTGGGACAGGTTTAAAATCCGGACAAAACAATTTCGAAACCGGATAAAACCCAACAATATGTGGCGCGTATATCTCAATATTATCTAACGCTGCTACAACTACTTTATCAAATGTCGTTAGAAATAACAATAGAAAGGGAAAATAGAGAAGATGATTTGCAGTTTTAACTATTTTCTTGGGTACGACAGAATTGTGTGAAATATAAGTATTATCTCTTGAGTGGTTGTGTTCGAGTTCATAGGACTTGTTCATAGCTTCCGCTTGTTCGAGTACCGTGGCCAGAGATGCAATGCAAGTCTAAGAATCCCCGCTGCGGCGTCAGAAATACAGCCACCGTTTTTGAGTGATATGAACATTCATACTTCCCAGAAACTAGGCTTATATACCTGTCTTGTCTTTTATATATGACATTAACTGTGAAGCGTTTGGTTATTCGGGTATTTTATCAGGGGTTTGTCTTTGATTAGGTATCCACACAAGTTTTAGAGGGTATTCAAAAAATATTTACCCACCTGTTTCTTCATATTTGCATTGGTATTTAACTTAAAACCTGTTTTGTAACAATCCTTGAATGTAAATAATTTAAAACTATGTGAATAGTAGTATACCCGTCTGCGTTTGCTTGCGGCTCCGTTTCCACGAAGACATTTCTTTTGTTAATTTGTTTATTTGTTTAATCACCAATCAGCGACAACCGACATGTACACTGACTAGACACGGTGTGCTTTTAATTGACAGTATGTTTCTCGCAGAAGCTGTTCCGAATGTCACTGTCGGTAAGTGAATTTGGCGACCGGCTGATACACAATCATTTTATCTAACAGTTGTAATATACACAGTCGTTTTATCTAATAGTTGTAATATACACAGTCGTTTTATGTAATAGTTGTAATATACACAGTCGTTTTATCTAATAGTTGTAATATACACATTCGTTTTATCTAATAGTTGTAATATACGCATTAATTATATTTCAATAGCGTTTTTATATTTTTTTGTTGCGTATTTGATATGCTAGGATTTGATTTGTCTGCATATTTCAGTTGATTTTAGGCGTGTTTTACGCAAATACGCAGCTTATCTCGAGCTCTGTCAGTATAGTAGAGATTGTCCGAATTTCAAGGAGTTCTCAATGTTGAGATCAAGTGGCATGTACTTCAAACAGTAAACTATATGCGCGTAAGTGCAACCATCAGAAGAATTGGGGCGTGACAAGTTATAGGCGTTTGACCTGTGTTATTATCCGCCCGTTATTAGCCTGGTTTGTACGTCTGACGTTGTCCGAAATACTATAATGCGTTACCGTAACATGATCTCGCGGTGACGTGCACGAGCCCCTATGACGTCTTGGGTTAAAGAAGCGGGGTGTAAATATCAAACCCTGCTTATGGTACAGAATATACTTCAGTACTAAAGATAAGCTGAAATAATCACCCCAACCATGTTTCTTATCTTCTGGGTGTAATTATGCAGGGTAAAGGTTGTGTATAGCCACACCAAAATGTCATCCGCTCTGGGGACACGTGGCCCAGTGGACGGGGTGAGGTCAAATGTGATTCTAAGTCGCGTTCAAGGTTATTGCACTTATATAGCAAGGCCGTAGTTAACTCTTTTTTTGAGAGAGGCAAATATTTGTACAAGTATCAAGTTCAAGTTATCTTTCACAAGGAAAAATGTTTTCTTTCTCTGCTGTCAGACGCCCTATCCAGTAGAACACGGAGGTACACTTCAAAGTAAGCGTTAATAGCCGACGTTTTCTCTCGCTTGTTCTTGATGCAAAATAAATTTGATTACAAATACGGAGGGGGACTTATTTCAAATGACACAATTATATTTGCTTTAAGACAACAGATTCTAAAAATCCTGGGTTATTCTTGAGCGGCTCGATAAAACACTATAACATGCAAACGAGAAAAAATCCAGAAACAAATGGAAACTTAAGGGAAGAGAGAGTTTAGAAAAACTCAAACAACACACGTGGGTACAAGGTTGGCGTGGGTGAAGGGATGCACGATTATCGTCAGATCATACGTTATCGAACATCATACGTTTGCGGGCGACCATGTTTAGCGCGATTACGTAGAGGGGAATGTCCGAGTAACTCTCCATTCCTTAAAAATAATATAGAGAGGCCCCGCAGCGCCCGAGGCCCATTACTTTTAAGGAATGGAGAGTTACGAGGATATTCCCCTACTTAAAACTCATCCCTACTTTTACACTTTACAATATTCTGTAGTTGAAAATATTTGAAAAATTCAAATGCTGCTTCAAGATAATGTTCAGTTGACAAGCAACTCTCCATTCCTGAAAAATAATGGAGCGTTCAAACAATAGAATGACGTCACAGATGTGTTTTAATTGATCTTACTTGCGCTATAACAAGGGAAGTGGCGTCACACAGACATTGTAAATACTCAGCTGATGGCCTGTTTGTAAGACAAAGTCGTCTTTTATAAGTGACTGAGATGTTTTACAGTAACTGTTGTCCTCAGAAAACCCTTAAGGGTTTACTAGGAACTTCAATTGCCTCGAATAGCCTACATATACAGCTTTTATAAACCCCCCTCTCTCTCTCTATATATATACATACACACATACACACGCTCACACACATATTGCGACCCACATAACGTGTAACATGTGCTTTATTTCTATCGTTTGATTGGTGACGTTCAACTTAACAGAACCCATGCATTTGACCACATACTTTTCAACTCTGAGCCACTCCTTAATCCTTTCGAATGGATATGAGTATTGCTTGATACAAAAGACTCAATTAAAGATGAGAGAAAACGTTAATATATACACACACAAAATCATACAAAAAACATACTTTCGTTTGGATATGTCGGCTAAGAAACAAATTAAAGGTAAATAGAAAAGTATGCACGTGTTTCGAATGCATTTATATTTCGCGCCATGTAGAACATTGTCCAATCAGAGAGGCTCCCGGTCAAGCACGATTTCCGGATCACATTGTTGCCCTTGGATGCTACGGTTTTAGGCATGTTCTCCGTGCTGGTTTAGAAATGTTTACAAGTTTACAAACAACATGGGCTTGACTGGCAGGAAGTGTGATTGTTGTTGTGAAGTGTTCCAGTGGCTCTGTCGATTAGTTGGTATCGTTACAGCGCTTGGTAAGTGAAAACACGCCATGCGTGGCAAGGGAGTCTGCTGTTTGTCAACATGATCACGCCACTCCAATGGCAGTGGAGAACGGGCAAAATGCCAAACGTGGTATTTACCCTCGTAAATTTTAGTGGAAAAGAATAAAATATAAAGTTAATACCCATATATCGTAGTCGACATGTTATTCATATTGAGATTTACTGTGTTATGTTGATCTTATCGGCTTTAACAAAAGCAGTAAAGAAAAGAAATTTTATGAATGAAATTCCAAACTTGTCACGCCACTATTTAATGCACTCGTTTAACCCTTTCATTGTTATGTTTTGTTAAGATTCTTTGCCACAGTATCAATATATCTATATTATAAGTTCAACTGCTCAACAAATATTTGGTATTTAATTTTGTAAGCCTGTTGATTGAAATAAGCTAGATCTAGATCGTCCCATAAGTGTGTTGATCGTTTGGCGAATCGATCACTGTCCTTATTAAACAAGGAAGGATTATTAAAAGTATTGTGAAGTCAAGATTGTTTGCTTCAGAATTAATTCAGAGTGACAATCAAAATGTTTCTGAGTAAGTTATAGTACCTAGTGGAGAAACATCAGTCATGAACTGACTGACCAAAGTGACCACTTTGATCAGATGATTAGATCTGTAAACATAATCAAGATTAAACATGGCTATTCTAGTCTAGTCTAGTCTAGTCTAGTCTGTTTGTCCTGAGAGTAGATATCTGGAAGGAATAGGGTTTTAATTTTAAATATGAAATAATATTGATTTTCTTTTCACCAAATGATATTTTACATATCACAGTCAATAAGCAGTTGACTGTGAGTACATAGTGTTTGACATTAAACATGAAAGTCATAGGGTCTTTGTCATAGAAACCAAAGGTTAAAAGTAAAATATCTAGGGTCCCTTGATTCGAATACCGTAGAAGTTCTGAAGAACCCCAGGACCCCCTTAATTTCGAACACTGGGTGCATTACCCTCATGATAAACAGTGAAGCTTGTCTGATTTATGAAAACAGATTAGCCAGTGACAAATGCAACTAACACAAAGATTAGCTCCCTAACAACTATTCAGAAATGTCCCAACTGCCTATTAACATTGATTTAGATAATGGTAAATGAGATTAACTTTATTAAAAAATAAATTATTTATGTACATGCTTCCCCCTCGTACCTCTCCAGGATAACTGTTGATTGTAAACAACATGGTCGGAAGTTAGTTCCTAGTTAGTTGGTTGACTGTTTGTTCATTTGCAATAAAAGTATGCAGAAATCAGAGCCATTAGTGTCGGTCAGAAGCAGTGTTGAATTAAAGCTTGAAAGTCATGGGTTATTGTCGTATTTTGAAGGCAATATGTAATTCATTCTTAGATTTTCATACCCCGACTGTCTGACTACCAAACACCAAAATTGATTGTTGCCTAATCATGCTATTGTTAATCATTTTAGTTTAAAGGGAAACAACACTCCAACTTTCAGTCGTCTAGCCAGCACCATTTTAATTAGCCTGTGCAATCACCAGAAGCCAATTAGCGCCAGCGACCCAACAAACTGGGCTTCTGACTCCGCAAGGGGCCAACTTGAAAATCTTGTTGACAGTGAGGGGGAATCCCCTTGAATCCTCGACTTTGATTGGATGATACTTATTATAACCTTACACCTTGCAAATTCATCAGCGTGTATACATATGTATGTACACTTATGTAATTTGGTATTCAGAAAATATGTGTACATACTATTTTTTTAACAGTGAAATTCAGCTCATATGCTCAACGGCAACGACCCTCATTTTTCATGCAAATTGCCTAAAATACAACAATTGCTACTCCCTTCTTATCATCATGTTTCACGGTATAACAGCTTGTTGCTATTTCTGGCCCACTTTATGAGAAATTACACATGGTAATGTTTATTTTTGCATAAATAATAATGCCTAGCAGAACAGAAAATACAATTTAAATGGTAAGTCATCATGTTTAGTAATAGTTTATATAAATTTCACATTTGTGTTGATCAAGTTTGTTCTCTGAAGGGATACTATGTATTTTTTTATTGTATGATGTTGACCGATAGCTTCACCCTTTCAAGCCATGTATGCAAATCAACAACAAAACCCATGTCGGTTTGGCTGCAGCACTTTATCGTATGCCTTTGTTATGATGTACGGCTTCTCATTAGACTTTCAAACTTGGAGTGCAGTTTCCCTTTAAAATGATTGAGTGAGTGAGTGAGTATGGTTTCACGGCGGGGGACACCAGAAATGGGAATCGGGAATCGAACCCGGGTCTTCAGCATGACGAGCGAACGCTTTAACCACTAGGCTACCCGACCGCCCCTTCTCCTTAAAAGGACCGCCACCATCTAGTGCATAGATTGTCTGCCTTGGGAGCGGGAGGGAGGTCGGTGATTAGGTCCCCGACCATGTCATACCAAAAGATATTAAAAGATGGTACTTGTTGTACCATGCGTGGCGCTTGGCATTAAGGGGTTGGTCGGCTTGAAATTGGTAGATTGTGTCTGAGTCGGGTATTCATGTCAAACTGTGGCATGGTATCTCAGTAGGCTAGCACTATAAAACTGGCTATAAAACTGGCATTAGTCACATAAACATAGTGGGGTCACTATATCCAAATACTTCGTGAAAAACATGACCTGTGCAGTACAATATATCTATTGTTTTGTATTAATACATGATGCATGGTATTTTGGCGGGGACACAGGTGTCCCATTCGTTTAAGGCGGCGCCTTTCCTGTGTAGAGTTGCGCCCCTTGGGCAGCCAGAAACCTGTGGTCATGGGTCGAATCCTGATTTGCCATGATTATATTTCTTGGTTTGTCACCATCATGCCCATGTTTGTGGGTTTCACCAAAGTGGTAAACATCTGAAACCTGCGTCACTTCAGGCTTGCCTCCCACATTAAGTTGACATGCAGTGCGCCCTTAAACACCAACTCACACACTCACTGTTATAATGTGATGATTCACAAGATTGCAAGGCAATGAATTAGGCTAAAAGAACAATTTATTTTGTTTCTCAGGCATCTGCATGTCACTTGGAAACCAGCTCATTGGGCTTCTTATTCATACTTGGGGCGGTCGGGTAGCCTAGTAGTTTAAGCGTTCGCTCGTCACGCCGAAGACCCGGGTTCGATTCCCGACATGGGTACAATGTGTGAAGCCCATTTCTGGTGTCCCCCACCGTGATATTGCTGGAATATTGCTAAAAGCGCCGTAAAACCATACTCACTCACTCACTCTTATTGATATTTAAATAGTATGTTTCTGGCATCATATATTCAGTATTTCTGACATAAGTTTTCAAATTCTATACAATGCTATGCTTTGTCAACAATTATTATTTATTCACTGCCAAAGTTAATGAGACCTAATTTGTTGTCTTCAGCTTAAAGGAAATAGAGACATGACCTTCCCCATACAGATGTTGTGATAAAATATTTAAAGCATCCCACCTCCTCTCAGGAACAGAGGGGCGGTCGACTAGCCTAGTGGTTTAAGCGTTCGCTCGTCACGCCGAAGACCCTTGATCGATTCCCGACATGGATACAATGTGTGAAGCCCATTTCTGGTGTCCCCCGCTGTGATATGCTGAAATACTGCTAAAAGCAGTGTAAAACCATACTCACTCAGGAACTGAAATTAACACTAGCCCAGACAAGTTTTGTAAAAGGTATCCTAAGGGCTAGTAGCATTTCAAACATTTTGGGGGGATATTGCTATATGTTACAGCAATAGGAACTAACAGGTTTAGTCCACTAGTCCTTATAATGATAACATATAGCAAAATCCTTAAAAATCCCAAATATCTACTTGTCGTTAGGATACCTAAACTATTGGAAGTTTGGCAAGGACTACAGGACTTGTGCCAATTTCTAACGCTGATGTTATCACTATTCTCTGGCTAGTTATTGGTTGAATTCCATCCATCACTCCCTCATCAGTTCAGTAAAAAAAGAGATCATTTAACAGGGTTACAAATTAATGCTAGCGCGGGGCTAGTCCAAATACTGCGAGCTAGTACATATTTCCCTATTTCCCCATTGTTTTAACCAGGGCTAGTAAAGCTTTTGAGTTAGGTTCTAACCCTGATGTAATTATTTTATATAGCCCTACAACCATAATCACTGCAGCCTCTTCTGTTTGCAGTTCTGTGGGGTGCCGGAGTGGAGGCTGCATTTTATCAACATGTTCTGGGCATTTACATGCTGTGAGTACAATAATATGCCTTACACTGTAATTCCAATTTCCTGTTTCCATGGTAACGGTATTTGCTATCTTTATATAATTCATATAATGTTGAAGTAACTGGAGTAAGGGATTATTGTCTATCATGCTAGTTAGGAATTAATGCTGTAGTCCATTTGTGTAATGTACAAAGGGTTATGTTCATAGAGACACAATATCACGTTAAAGCTTCATGTGATTTTTATGGGGAAAATCTGAAATCAGCTTTATGAGTAAGAGAGTGAATAATTCATCTGCAAAGATATTTATAATTTAGAGTGATTTTGATGAAATGAACAAAGCACCAGCCAGTTTCAAACAATGCATAATTAATAGATTTTTTAATTCTAGCTGGTTAGAGGGAAAAAACACCCTTCATGCTACTGATAAATAGGGAATCTCACCCTCGTGTCTTTTGATATCAAATATTTATCATCCAAAACGGGCTCTCACAGGAGATATGGCTTGGGTGAGATCAAGTGATATCTACATTGTAGATATCGCTGCAATGAAATTTGCATCACAATGCTTTGCAGACCATTGTGACGTCATTGGTTACCATGATGTCACAATCAAATGATATCACTAATGGCTCTGCTACTGAAGCTGTTAGCAGTACGTTTTACAGTAAGACACTGCTTATAACTGTCTACAAAGTGAAAAAGTTGGAAGAATGATTTTGGATGATAAATAAAATCTCACCCTCATGTCTTTTGATTTCAAAGATATCAACACTCGTTCAGATGCATTCAACACAAAATGCATGTTATTTGTATGTTTACATAAGCATTTGGCAGATTGCCAACACTGCTGTGTCTAAACATTTCAGAAAAAAATATATACCTGTTACAGATATCCTTATTCATGTGATTTTTATACTGTATTTCTTGTAAGGATGAGGATATAATTTTTTGTTTGTTTGAAGCACCAGGGCTGTACTGGTACACAATGGAATATTAGCAGTTTGTTGCTTGTGTATATGATCTTGCAGTAATTCTGATGTGACAATCAACTCCAGTAGAAAAATGTGTCACTTGATACAGGGACAGTTACAGTTTGTGCATTCATTCATGTTCACCACATGGTTGCACGGTTTGATCCCAATTTCTGGTGTCCCCCCACCATGATATTGCTGGAATAATACGAAGGGTGGCGAAAAAACGTACTCGCTAGCGAACGAACGACATGTCGACTCAATAGTTAGGCATGAAATAACCATCTCAACTTTTTAATACATCATATGATATTGTTGACAAGCCATCCAAACTCAACACACTGGGAAAACGAAGTCATGTATGTTGGTATTAATTTCAAGATTCAGGGTACTGACTACTTTGGAATCCTGGTTAGAATAAGTGCCCAGCAACCTATGCTGGACATGAGCAATCAACTACATCCAATGGTCAGGCTCGGTGACTTGATTGCTTATCATGCCCCAACAGCATGGATCATTGCTCACAATGTCGATAACTGGATTGTCTGGTCCACAATCAATTATATACAGGCTGCTGTCATATTGCTGGGATATTGCTGAGTACTACTTTAAACAACGATAAACAAACCTTGTCTACTTGTTGGGTTTCAGAGTGGCTGCGGTAGTTGTCACAGCGTTGGAATTTGTCTTTGTCGTTAACTACTTTGTGGAAATATGTACACGGTAAGAAATCCTGCTATGCATGCAGTGTTAGATATTGGCACTAGTCTTGTAGTCCTTGCCAAACTGCCCAATAGTGGTATCCTACGGACTAGTAGAAATTTGCCTTTTGAAGGGTTTTGCTATATGTTTTCATTATAAGGACTAGTGGACTAAAAATGTTAGTTTCTATCACTGACATGTACATGTTGAAAAAAAAGAAGGAATTCTCTTAAAGAAGTAAAAAGTTGTACTTGTCATGTAATTTATATGAACTGTTCTGGAAATGGCACCAGTATTCTAGTCATCCAATCATTAAGCATATTGCCTCCAATATAATATGCCTCAAAACAAAAATGTATTCAGGTGCACCGGGGGGCATCCATTTAGATGTCGTGCATGCCCTATGGCATTGGGGTGTGCCCACAAGAAGAATAGTTTTGATCCGTCTTCAAACTCTGTCATTTCACCTAGGCGAGAGATTTTCCCCTTTCCTTTTTTTTTAGATGGATGACAGTAAATATTTGTGCAAAAGTACATATATCACTAGCTTCACATAATAAGCTCTGTGACGACAGATTTTTAAGTGTCCCTTTCAGGCACCAGAAACTGATTTTGACCCTGACATCTGCACAAAAATACAATGAATTTCTAACCCTGTAAAGGGTTTTGGAGGGCTTGAAGTTTTATTTTTTTTCACGTGTAATTAATATACATGCAGGGAAAGAAATACTGGTTAGCACTTTAGCACTTGTCTGAAGCAACCTGCCTTATTTTCAAATTTCCCTGTTGTCAGTTGAAGTTTCCTGTCGCTAACAGTGTACCTAGATGTTGTTATTATTTCATCTTCCCAAGGCAAGGGCGTTGACTGACACCAAAAGTCCAGTCTCTACCCATGCCGAATAAGGCAGGCTGGAATTCCGGATTTACTTTTGCTGGGCTACCGAGTCTATGCAAATGACGACCCGTGAACATCCTGGGTAGAATAGGTCTTCAGCAACCCATGCTTGCCGTAAAAGGTGACTATATTTGTCGTAAGAGGCGACTAATGGGATCGGGTGGTCAGACTCACTGACTTGGTTGAAGCATGTCATCTTATCCCAATTGTGTGGATCAATGCTCATGATGTCAGTTGCTGGATTGTTTGGTCGAGACTCGATTATTTGCAGACTGCTCAAGAGATTTGATGCATTTGGCAAGGTATGGCCTGTTTTTTTGCAATATAGATCTTGAATATCGATCAGGTCATCTTGACCAGGCGCTGTCATTTTGGTTGAACTTTTATAGTCCGTTAACACCCTTGACTTGGAAGATGTTATTTTTGATACATATACTGAGAAAAAGTATTCCATCCACTCCAAAGCTGGGGCTGCCTCTGTGGTCTAGTGGTAGAGCATCTGCTATGAGAGCGGAAGGTCTGGGCTTCGATCACTGGCCTCTTTCGAAAAGACGTTAAATAAAAAGAGTTTACTTGTTGCTACCCTGCCTGGCGCTTGGCATTAAGGGGCTAAAACAAGGACTGGTCGGCTCGCAGTCTGTATACTGTGCCTCAGTATTCATGTTATCTCAGTGGGCTAGCACTATAAAACTGGCATTAGCCTGGGCTAATACAAGCAGCCACACACACATACACCATGTATGTCGCTTTATAAGTGCAATAATCTTGGACGCGACATTAAAACCCCATATCACGTCACTTCAAAAGCTGGGCTAGTAAGCATAGGTAGATAAGTGTAAAGAAGCTTGACCTGTTTGTGCCTGATCACCTGTACGTGTGTGTCCAGCTCCACAGCGGCCAAGTGCTGGAGGTTCTGGGACTGTGTGATGTGGCTGGATGACTGGAAGAAGGGGATTCTCTACATCGCCATCTGTATCCCGTGCTTTATACAGCCACACGACGTGATCCTAGGAGTCCTTGCAGGTACGAGCGTCAGAAAGGAGATATTAGTTGACATTCCGCTTTGTAAAGTTAACTCAACGCCTTGCAACTCGTTTTGGCTCAAACTTGTTTTTGCCTGTTCTAAATATTATTTGCAACAGTATTTACCTGTAGCCATGGTAACCGACTTACTGTCACTTCAGAAAACAGACTTTGTTCATGTCATCTTCCCTTTGAAAGGTAAGGGTATGATACATGGTCCCCAAAGAATAGGGCTCTGTATTGGCAAACAAATGGTGTTGCAATATAGGTTTCTGTATTGTGATACGTATTGCGGTATATTGGGAGCTAAAGTGTGTGACAGTGACTGTACATTCTATTTTCTACATGCTAAAGTAAATATAGCTCAGCATGGTCAGTCACCGCCGTTTTGTAGTCATGGATAACAGTGTGAGGGCCAAATCACTTCTGCGTTTTCAACGTTTTGTTATCAGTTTCGAAGGGAAACATATGTAAATGAATTTCTGTGTAGATTTTAGGTTGTTTTTGCTATGTGCTATCATGACTGTACTGATGTTTTATTGGTTCACTGTCAGAAAGCATTTAAAACTTAAAGATAATAATTGGAATAATTGCAGGATTTCATTATATTTCTGTTGCAGGATGTATAATGTTTGTGTCGGCAGTGTTGTATATGCTGAAGACATTTAAGACGCGTCGGGAACGGCGTCTTGAAACTATCACTCAAAAACCATCATACGATAGGTAAGTAGGACATATTGAGATTGTAATGTTTAAGTTCTGATTTCAGTGTTAGTTTTGTCTTTGGAGGTATGAACGTAAAAAACGGTATGTGCACTGTAAATCTATGTAGCTGATATATGTGAAGTGTGCATTCTTAAATAAATAGGTCAACAATAGTAGCTTCACAGACTTCCTATTTAATTATTAATACCAATAAACTGTTGACAACATCACCAACCATATCATCCAATCAGGAAACAGTAGATCGGTAGAAGGCGTGCCTTAAGTATTTTTTCTCGGTTTTGGGGAACAAACGCAAAACAATATGCTTGGTGAGCCAATCAAATGCCATAAAGTCACTTGCAATTTATTGTAAGATGCACTAACATAAAGACAATTTTGACCTTATTTGCAATAAACCCTTACCTGCCGTACATATTTTCTAGCTAAAGATCTGTCCAGGCAACAGGACTTTTGCAGAACATTTTTGAAATAGGTCATGAGTGGTCAAGAAGTCCATGGTGCCACTTTTTGCAGTGCCGCCTCCACGGTGTAGTGGTAGAGTGTCCGCCTGGAGAGCGGGAGGCCTCCATGGTGTAGTGGTAGAGTGTCCGCCTGGAGAGCGGAAGGCCTCCATGGTGTAGTGGTAGAGTGTCCGCCTGGAGAGCGGGAGGCCTCCATGGTGTAGTGGTAGAGTGTCCGCCTGGAGAGCGGAAGGCCTCCATGGTGTAGTGGTAGAGTGTCCGCCTGGAGAGCGGAAGGCCTCCATGGTGTAGTGGTAGAGTGTCCGCCTGGAGAGCGGAAGGCCTCCATGGTGTAGTGGTAGAGTGTCCGCCTGGAGAGCGGAAGGCCTCCATGGTGTAGTGGTAGAGTGTCCGCCTGGAGAGCGGAAGGCCTCCATGGTGTAGTGGTAGAGTGTCCGCCTGGAGAGCGGAAGGCCTCCATGGTGTAGTGGTAGAGTGTCCGCCTGGAGAGCGGAAGGCCTCCATGGTGTAGTGGTAGAGTGTCCGCCTGGAGAGCGGGAGGCCTCCATGGTGTAGTGGTAGAGTGTCCGCCTGGAGAGCGGAAGGCCTCCATGGTGTAGTGGTAGAGTGTCCGCCTGGAGAGCGGAAGGCCTCCATGGTGTAGTGGTAGAGTGTCCGCCTGGAGAGCGGAAGGCCTCCATGGTGTAGTGGTAGAGTGTCCGCCTGGAGAGCGGAAGGCCTCCATGGTGTAGTGGTAGAGTGTCCGCCTGGAGAGCGGGAGGCCTCCATGGTGTAGTGGTAGAGTGTCCGCCTGGAGAGCGGAAGGCCTCCATGGTGTAGTGGTAGAGTGTCCGCCTGGAGAGCGGGAGGCCTCCATGGTGTAGTGGTAGAGTGTCCGCCTGGAGAGCGGAAGGCCTCCATGGTGTAGTGGTAGAGTGTCCGCCTGGAGAGCGGAAGGCCTCCATGGTGTAGTGGTAGAGTGTCCGCCTGGAGAGCGGGAGGCCTCCATGGTGTAGTGGTAGAGTGTCCGCCTGGAGAGCGGGAGGCCTCCATGGTGTAGTGGTAGAGTGTCCGCCTGGAGAGCGGAAGGCCTCCATGGTGTAGTGGTAGAGTGTCCGCCTGGAGAGCGGAAGGCCTCCATGGTGTAGTGGTAGAGTGTCCGCCTGGAGAGCGGAGGGTCCGGGGTTCGATCATACCAAAATATGTTAAAAGATGGTACTTGTTGTTACCCTGTCTTGCACTATAAATCGGCATCAGTCCGGGCTAGGACAAGCAGCCACACGCACGCACGCATGTCGCTATATAAGTGCAATAATCTTGGACGCGGCGATAAACCCCATTTCACCTCACCTCACCTCACCTGAGTTAAGTCACTGTCAAAGGTCTTGAAACAGGCCTGTCTCCATTCTAGGGCCTGGACTAGTGGAAGCTGGTAGGAATTCAGTGTTTTCAGATATCCAATCCCCACCTGACCAGTAGACAAGACACAAGTCAGGTAGAAATAGGCTTCAAATCAGCCTGTTGTTCTTATAGAGGTACAGTCACCCTTCTAGGAACTGTCCCACCCAGAACATCTCCATGATCAGGCCTCACATGTTTGTGTGCCACAACCAGGGGCAGATAACTGTAATCACTCCCAGTTAAGATGTGGCCACGATAGCACCACACATTTTACAAGTGTTTCAGTCAATTTCCACCCCTGACAATTACTACCAGTAAAGTTACTATGCAGTTTCTAATGCCACTGATATTACTCACACATAGCAAATGCATCTAAAAAAAACTGAGATCCTTGGAAATTGTATGAATATCCAGGTTATATTACTTGTAAGTTTGATAATGCCGGGACCCATGAATATCTGGGTTAGAATAGGTCTTCATTCAGCAAGCCATGCTTGCTGTAAAAGGCGACTATGCTTGTCGTAAGAGACGACGAATGAGATCGGGTGGTCAGGCTCACTGTTTTGGTTGATGCATGTCATCGTATCCAAATTGTGTGGATCGATGTTCAGGATATCAATCACTGGATTGTCTGATCCAGATTCGATTATTTACAGACCGCCATCATATAGCTGGAATATTGCTGAATGCGGAGTTAAACAACAAACAAACAAACAAAATGATGATGCCGGAGTCAGATTCAACAAAGTTTCACCACATTTTACAGAATCACACTATATTTTCTAATTTCAGATTTGAAGATATCCATGAGGACCTACATGATGATTTGGAAGACAGCATTGTAAATCCTAACAGTGACTTTAACCCCATTCCCAGTGTGGGGGACCAGTCGGAGATACTGGAGATGTGAGGAGCTACCAGACCATCTGTCTGTGTCTTGTCTGGTCCCTCGTGATGACCCGATCCTGCACAGCAGGTCACGTAGCCGATATCTGTTTGGCCGTCTCTGCTTCACCTAGATGTACATTTCCATGGAAACGTGAAATGGATGGCAGCTTGGAGCAAGTGTTTGACACTGTGATGCTTTTTTATTTTACCTATTGTCAAACTGCTTAATGCTTTCTTCAGAATTAATGAAGCTCTCAGGTCCATTAGACTTTATGATCAGTGAACATGTTATAAGAAGTAAAGATTTAGAATATCATCAAGGGATATTCACGATATATATCCTGATATATATTTGATTTTTTAACCGAAAATACATTCCAGAAGAGAAAATTAAAAAAATAATTTCAGATTTGTCAGAAAACAGCTGTCAAGGGATATTTTAATATGTTGTTATTTCTCTGAAGGAATTCAGTATAAAGTTATGGGGAGGTAAAGTCTGTACTGAAAAGAATACACGATTGAATATGACTTCCTGAACATCTCTTACCCACTGAAATACTTTGTGGGTCAGCATGCCTTTCATGCTTCGTCAGGATGGCTACCATGGTTACTGGACCACTTAAATGGACTTGTATCCATGTAGACGGCAAGTCCATCCGGCAACTACTGTTGGGAAGCTGTAGGGCACACTGCCTCATGCTGTCTTGTGCCTTACATTTCACTGTCTATCCTACACCAGTGAGTGATTTTACTGGAAACACTGGACTGGACTGAGTTCTCCTCCGTTGACAGATGGAAAAGGGCAAGTTAGTGAATATTTGCAAAATGTTTTATCCCACATCGAGTCATTGTTTATTCACACATATTCACAGTTATTGTCACTGCCACTTTTCCAAATTTATCAAATATTCCCACTGTCCACGATTCAATGTATTCTATGTACTTGACGGTATGCAACTAGAATCTGTTTATGCATGTTTTGTTTACTGTTTATAGAAACTATACATATCACATGCTGAAAGAACCCTCCATTGGTCCATTACACCGGCATTGTCACCTTATGGTGTTTATTTATGGATGATGCATGTCTGGTTTTATTTTTTTTATATTTTGCGATTTGATTTATGTGTATTCTGCAGCACTAGTTTTCAGCACAAAAATCTTTTTTCTTTGCTTGTGTTATTTCCCTATTTTCACATTTTTACATAGTTTATTGGCTTCAGACATGGCTGGGTAGCCTAGAGGGTAAAGTGTTTGCTAATATCGCTGAGGACAAGGGTTTGATTCCCACGTGGGGTCTGTGTGCAGGATGCGCGCTATTACCGGTATACCGGTAAATTGAGGTTCATTCTTTCCACAATACGTATCACAATATCATATTTTCATGCTCAGTATATCAGGTGATTTCAAATAGCGATTTTCATCATGGTTTTCATGTTATACACTTGCCAAATACCATCGCTGCCCCGGAGCATGCATCAGAGACTAAGATGGCTGCGTATTTATTGAATGAGTTAACATTATGTTATACCAGCATCTGGTTTGCTCTATTTATGAACTTCCATTCATACATTCAAGCTTCACATTGATTCTGAATTCAAAATTTAAGAAATACAATGTATTGTGATACGTATGGCAATATGGCCTTGTGGTTCGTAAAATATTGTGATACACGTTAACCATCAATACCCATTCCTATGTGCAGCCGATTCTTGTGTTGATTACATGGCACTATTATGACCTGTGCTTGTCCATCATCGAGTCTAATGTAACGTGTTATTTATTCATGTGTCTTTGACATGCTAGTGTATGCAGAAATAGGAATTTTATACAGATATACTGCTCAAAAGAAGTTAAAGGGCAAGTTCACACGGAAATTAACCTATTTTTCTTGTACTTTTTCCACATTAAAAGTGTTAACCTAGAAGTGTCATAGACAAAAATATAAAAATATCACAATTAATTAACATATTTTTCGCATTAAAACGATTTATATTTTTCACATTTACCAAGTGTTCTATTTCCACAACAAAAACACCATGGCTTATGCCCCTTGCAATATGACGTCATTGGTGCCAATTGATAAACATTATGACGTCATCATGCTTTGTTAGAGCCGCTTCACGTGGTGTAGGTCTAGATGTGTGATTCTAGCGTCTCAGATGCCAGCCAGCATAGTGTTATGCTGAGTCACCACTGCGCCGGAGTGTGTCGTAGACCATGTTGTTTTACCGCAAACTGGTACTTGATATCTTTTGCGTTGAGAATAGACAGGGACCCAGTTGAATTGGCACCAATTACGTCATAATCTAAGGGGGATAACTCAGGCCTGTTTAGCTCGAAAAACGAAGGCATCATAACGGCATATCATTTTCACACTATTGTGAGCTTCCTACTTTCACTGTGAAAAAAATGAGTGTATATTTTCAAACACAGATACTAATTAATTCTAAAATTGCGTTTTGTTTAGAAAAAGAAAGAAAGTGATTTTTGCGTGTACACTTCCCCTTTAAGGCACATAAAATTCGTTCATTTTACTATAGATAAGCTGTCATGGCTTGGTTAACTAACTATAATATTTGAAAGAATTGGGTGTTCTTCAACTTATTTTGAGTTGTATATTTTAGGGTTGAGAGACAGTTGAATATGAGCTTTAAATGCCGGAGATTATCAATATACACTGTCACCCATTGTGCTTTATATCTACTTTGTGCCTTGAGGCAGGGAGCGGTATACATGAACGACAGATAGTTGTTCGTGTCAGATCATTTTAGTAACATATTACATGTACATTGTGCTGTATGGTGTGTGTGATCCAGTGATCATGTGAGATAATGTTGAACTGTGGCAAATGAATGAGAATAGAATGATGCAATGTTTTTTTTCTAGAAATATTGTTTTAAAAATCTATCTTCATCTGCACAGTTGGTGAGAAAAGTGGAATAATTTGAAAATAACAGAGCTGTTCACTCCCACTCAAGAAGCTAAAGTATTCCTGATGGTAAGTCCTTCATTGTGAGAAACCACAATATTTTTGTACAGAGAAATGTTCTAAGGTACCCTAGATTTTGGATGTTGAAATAGTGGGAGGGTGTATAGGGGAGACCACTCTACTAGTCCATGCTGATCGTGCACACTCAAGTCAGAGTGATATGCTTTGCACTTAGTTGGCCAGGTTTCCAAGTCGGATTGACCACAAGGCCAAGGTGTCTAGGCTAAACATACCTATGTTACACACCAGGGTTAAACAAGACCATACAAAATCAGAATTGGTTTGTTTTTTCTTTTTGTTACTATTTCTATGAGGTTATGTTAGGAATGTTTGTATCGGTGACTCTCCGCAGTGTGCAAGTAGAGTTATCTCCCTTTGACCAACATTTACCAAGCTCCTTCCCAGCGCGTGACACCTGCGCTACACTCTCAGTAACATCGCTGCCACCAGTGTAGGCACAGCCATTACAAGAATCTTCAAATTTGTCCTCTAACTCTAAATGTAGTAATGTTTTTACTTCTGTTTATGTCTTTGGGAATGATGTCATAGTAAATTTGGAAAAGGTTTATGACTGACCATATGGTGACAGCAATAGTATAGAAAACTCCGAGAACGGGCTATCATAACATTTACATTACGGTTTGTAAGATGTTAAGAATATTTTAAAATGAATGTGGCAGTTATCCTTTTGTGGCTTCAACATTGGAAAGATAGTTGAAAACATGCTTGTAAACCTGTATGAACAGATGAGCTCAACAAAACCTATGTCTAAATGCAATGTTTTCTGTTGGAATTTGTCCAAAGATCAGTTGTAAAGTATGCCATGTGAAAAGATCATCAGTACTGTACACCATGGTTATATTTGTTGGAACAGATATAGTACAGCCTTAGCACACTGCAACCAACATAAGCCGATATTAAGGTATTGGAGTTATGATCACCGTAACGAAACCCTTTGTACAACACACTGGTTACAAAACAACCTTAGCGTTACGACCATCGTTAGCCTATGTTTAAGTTTGGGGGATACAATCACCTTAGCGAATCCCTTTGTACAACGACACACTGGTCACTAAACACCTAGATATCCACCACCTGCTGTGTTTGGAGCAGTGAACAGGATAAGATGCTAAGATATGTATGCTTCTAAAAAAGGTTAAGAACACCCAATTCTTTCATAATGCCGTAGATAATCTATAAATTATCTAGAAGTATGAAGAATTGGGTGTTCTTTTACTATTTTTGGAGTAGTATGTTTTCATAGTTGGTGTATAAACATTTGTCGTGAGTGAAATGTATCTGTATATTTCGATTGCATATTCGTAGCAGCTGTGGTGTACATTTTTATGTAGGAAACGAGTCTATTTATGATTGTGTCAGTTCTCGTTCCTTCTTTGTGAAGAGTTGTTTTAAGCCAGCAGTGTTACCATGATACCTGTATATTTGTATTGTATTTGCAGCATTAAGCTTCTCGGCATCGTAACTAATATATCTCTAACTCCTGGAGACGTCCATGTCTCTGCATGTAGTTTCTCCACCAGTGTATATTAACCCTAACACCTGTGTCTTGCCGCTTCAGCTGTCCTCCATATGCTTTAGAGTTAACTTGTTTTATGATGAAGAGGAGACAAAACATATTCTTACAATACTTGCGGCCCTTCCTTCACCATGGCCCCCCATTGCTGAATGTCAGAACACCAGCTTTACTTCCAATGCTCGATGCTTGTCAGACTGATGAGGCCACACATCTTTTATTTTTCGTTTCATGGGCCCGCACCACCTACTGAAAAGCAGTTGGAAAAGAAATGAATAAAACATCAAATATTTTACTTTTAGTATGTCTCCCGCTAGTAGTATAGACCAGAGATCTGGAAATATGTTTTTGCCAATTGGACATTTGCTTTTGGTCACGCTGGAAGTTCATGCATGAATAAGAAGAATAAACTCAAGTATCACTTTCATAACATATATAGTGGTCCCTTGCTATTGCGCTCTTAGTGCTTCAATAAAATTTACTTAAATTTTTAATCAACTCAAGTTTTACACTGACACACTGTCACCAATATCAGCTGATCACTGCTATCACGTAACACCGGAAATAACAGTCAACAAATCCAAACTGAAGAACGCAATATAATCACATTATTATAAAAACGTGTTCCATGTATATCTGGACTTGTGTTTGTAATATATTTTATTGATTTTATTCAAAATTTCTTTCAATATTGTTTACATTAATTTTGGAGAAATCATAGTATAGACCCCCTTACAAAATATAAAATGTAATATATAAATTCTGTGTCTACATCCCTATCAGTTGTTCAAGAAGCCTGCTGCAGTTTTAACTCCACGGCAGATAGACTTTCATATAAATAAATAAATGATTGACAGCTATTTATTTTTACTTTCATTTCGACCATCTTTGTGTGGAAAACCTGGAATAAATCTGTGAAACATTAAATGAAAAAAGCGTGGCCTTACTATTATTTAATAACTTGTCCAGGATAGAGATCCCAAGTCCTGTAATGAAAGTTAAATGAGCTTTACAAATCATGGGTCTGGAATGAACTATACAGAGGCAGCAATAAGGACGTAGTGGTGTTGGCTTGTTTGGGATCCTAATGTGCAACCCTGTGGATTCTGACTGGCTATTCTGGAATGTTGATCATTGTAATTTGTTTCTTTCTTTTCGATGCAGGAAACTATTATTTGAGTATTTTGACTCCGCTAACCAGCCACGGGATGCAAGGCTATTAGTTAGTAGTTCAACGAGAACAATATCGCCAATAAGTAGCAATAATTTACTCTCCCCATCTCCCCCCCCCCCCACTATGTATGTGGTATATGTTATTATTGCTTGCTTCATGTTCACAGGATGCCTTTGAGAATTACACTCACGGTTGGGTAAAATGTGTGAAGCTCATTTCTGGTCCCCCATTCTTTAATATCCCCAGGATTCCAGGGTAGAATAGTTCTCAGCAACCCATGCTTGCTGTAAAAGGCGACTATGCTTGTTGTAAAAGGCGACTAACGGGATCGGGTGGTCATGCTCGCTGACTGGATTGATGCATGTCATCGATCCCAATTGCGTGGATGGATGCTCATGATGCTCATGCTCACTGGATTGTCTGGTCCAGACTCGATTATTTACAGACCGCCGTCATATAGCTGGAATATTGCTGAGTGCGGCGTTAAACAACAAACCAACCAACCAACTAATATTCCCAGACTAAAAATTAGTCCCAGAAATAAACTTATCATTCTTATAAATATATATCTACACACACACAAAAAAAATCCAAATGGAGCCCAGAGCAATGCTTTGTTTCAGTTTATTTAAGCTGAGGCATTCTAGACTTGAGTTGGATTCCTTTCTTAATTTTTCTTCTTGACTCTGGGAGACAAGAATATCCTTACAGGGCAGCCTAAGTGCTGACTCCTTCAGGGTAGCCTTGTGGCCCAGCATGTCTGATACATACTGTTGTGTGTATAGCATAGAGTCTGGAAGAAAGCATGTGAGGCTTCATGTTCTCAGCACAGCGACGTCCGTGACACTCCATCTCAGCGTTATATTTCTGACTTTTCTGTACAGGTAATTTTTTTCAAATTAATTTCGAAACCTTTTCTGTAGGACACTTCACCTTGCTTGTTTTTGATGCCTTAGGGAATCCTGGAGGACCCAGTAGACCATGCAGAGTGGTAATCTCAACCTGCCAGAACCTGCTGGTCATGGGTTTGAAACCCACATTCCAGACCCTTGGTCTGACCGCACCAACTGATTATTTACAGGCAGTCGTTATAGAGCTTAAATATTGCTGGGCACACTATTAAACAACACACAGATTACGCAGATATATAACATTAATACTGTTTGAAGTTGCACCCACTCACTCACTGACTTAATACCTCCAACTTCACACTACTGTTAGGTTCAATCTCATAATCTCATCCCACAGTTTGTTACTTTCATGATTAAGTAAATAAGGACTATGTTTGACCGACAAATTCCGATTCTCTCCTCTTCTACCCCCAACCCAAAGAGAGTGTTTGATTTTGACGGAGTGCTTCCAATTACATGATGAGCCCCAGGAGATCCAGTAGCATTGATTCAAGTATTTAACCTTTATAACATAGATGGGGAATAATATATAACCTTTATAGCATAGACAGATAGGGAATAACAACTTAATATCTTGTGTCACCTTACAGAATATTTTATGGTCTTAGGAATTTCTTTCACCATCATTGGTCTCCGTGGAATAAAGGCTGATCTTTCTTGCGTGTGGGAAGTGTTCATCATAGCAGGCAATGGTCCCAGTGTCAAACTGTAATTGTGTGGGATTTGTCATGAAAACCTGATTTTGTAAGGGGAAGAAAAGACATACTAGAGATAAAACATGTAATATCTTGGGAGTAATAATTTTTGTTAGCTTTGGCCTTCCATTTCCCTTATAATACATGACTAGTTCCTCAGTGAGTTGTTCTGTCTCCAGGTGTGTTTTGTAGTTCTCAGACGGTGTTTAGAATAGTCATCACACAAGTAGAATCTCGCCCACAGCTTATAGGCTGCAGTTGGTTGCTTGCTGTTTGTTATGATTAACGATTCTTCAAGAATCAGAATAGTATGTTATTTTAGTGGAGTGAATGGATTTCATGCTTGTTTATATGTAGACTGAGAAATATTTTATTATGCTCTTTGAATCTCGTTTGGTTAGTTTTGCTTTCTACACTTTCACCATCTTCCTGAGGCAAGGGAGTTAACTGTCTATAAAAGTCCAGTTGCCACCCTTGCCGAACTAGGCTGGTATTATGGAGTTACATTTTGGCTGGACTAACAAGTCTATGCATAGTCCAATCAAAATCATGCACTGAAATCGAAATCCGGTTTGTAGAGTGTCATGCAGATTTCGGTCGACTGCAGGATTTGCAAAACATGTGCACCGCTAACTCGTTGTAAACAGATATTTTCTAAATCTTTTTATGTTTTTAATCAAGGTGCTCACGTGATTTGATGCACTTCGCGATGTAAGACTCGTTTTATCGATCAGATCGTCTTGACTGGGCGCCACCGTTTTGTTTGAAACAAATGCAAGTGATACGAGAGGTTAAATCTGATTGGTCAATAGGAGAGGCATAGAAAGGACATAACTCATAATAGCCACTGGTGGCGCTACGATCAAGCCCAGGAATTCCAGCCTAATTCGGCAAGGGTGGAAACTTGACTTTTAAAGTCAGTTAACTCTCTTGCCTCGGGAAGATGCACTTTCACCCACCCAGCGTGAGATTTGTCATTCTGTTTTCCTTTTGGAAATGTGCTCACTTGATTACACAATAAACATGATCATGATAATGTTGATCATGAAGACTTTTATGGATAACAGTTTCTTTCTTTGTCACTATTCATATGAAATATGTGCTTTTGTTACAGTGATGGTTTAGTGCCTTGTTAACCGTAAAAGCTTGATTAATTACCCAGGTGATTATCAGAGGACATTTATTACTGTAGAAGGAATGGGCAACAAATAGGGTTGTATTAATTCACATACTGACTGAACAGAAAGGGGGACGGCCATGTTAATAAGCCAAGCAAGCTATCTCAGTACTCGCCCTGAACATGTACTGGTCCAGTGACTGGCCAGACCAAAATCCATGTTGCCCCTGATCAATAAATATATCTACTCAATAGTGTCTGTGATTAACAATTGATGGACAATGATGGCTTGAGCCATTGTTAAGATTTGTATTTCCGCGCTAAGTCCTGGTTTTGTTAGGTCTTTAGTAGGGGAGGATGTTCATTTTGGAATTAATCAAGCATTTACAGTATTGATACTCTAACTGGATGGCCTTATTGTTGAAACATCTTTGTACTGCCTCATCTTCCCTATCTCGTCTCTAACTCAAAATGAACACATTTATCTTGTGGTTCTGATTTCACTTTTGAGCCTCATCGATCTACTAGAAATATATTTTTCTCAACGAGAAATATAAGTATTTTTCTTCCAGCAGTACAAAGAGATCATGTTAGCAATACCATTATTTGTAATGCTTAATGCAATTTTTCCTGTACTCAATATTATTTTAGGTGTATGTGCTATGAAATTAGGTGGAAATGTGCCTTGATGCCAAGGATTTTAGTCTATTCAAGTGCTTGAAGTTGGGTTTTATATGTTGATGTGAATAAACTACTTTCTGTACATCAAATGACTTTCAGAGTTCTGCTTTCAAAATCCTGCATGGGATGCCAAAATCAAATCTGGGTGAACATCAGTGAACCGGTATTCAGTATGCCAATGGTCTGATTTCACCCTCTAACCCCCCTCTCCCCCCCCTCTCCCCCAACCACTGTTGAAATACTCATGACGGGTGTGTTCGGTGGCATTTGTTTTTTAAATGTCCGTGTTGTGAAGTGTCATATTTGTCCTGTGCAGGTCTGCCACCTTTGGGGGGGGGGGGCACAGGTGGCCCAGTTGTCGCGATTTTCTGTGCAGAGTTGCGTCCCTTGGGCACGCCAGAAACCTATGATTATGGGTTTGAATCCTGGTTCGCCCCAAATATGTTTCTAGGTTTTTTAGCACCAACATAAAGATGATACGTTGTGATATAAATGGAATACTGTTAAAAGCGGCATAAAACCCAAATCACTCACTGCCTGCTTGGGCGTATCCGACACTTTCAGAAACATGAATACCATACAATACAGGAAGACTTACTCATATCGAAGTGATATTAGATTGGTTTGATGCACATACTGGTATGTTGTGTGAACCGACGCTCATGAATGCACGTCATAGATCCTCGACTCGAGATGCACCCTTTGTCTTGTGCAGGTTTAGCGTGTGAAGTTTAGAAATCACGTGCAGCATATCGTGATAACACTTAACTGATTGTTAGTTTTGATATTAATGGAAATATCTCTTCTTAACGTACATACTTCTGTGTTTCTATGGTTCGCGTTTCTTTTTGCTAGCCCTGCCTCCAAATCGTGATGTTGGTACTTTTTATCTGTCAGGTTTAGGAAATGGAGACCCAACTTCATGTATGTGTGATCCCTTTTAACTCTATTCTGTGGTGTTTGTAGATGTCTGATTGTTTGTCAACATCAATATTCTCATGGTCGATTCTGCACCTGTGTTAATACCTACAGCAGCCATTCAACAGGGTGACATCCACATGCCCATGGTGGACACACAGGTACAAGGTGTTATGGCAGCTGTGCTTGCGATGCACATGCAAAGACATTTCCATTAATGTTTGATGAATCCCACTTTCACTTATTAAGCCTTGTACAAGTCGCAGAATGAATCTATTGAGAACCAAAGATGCGTTTATAAGAATCATAAATAGCTCTTCTACATGTATATTTCCAGTGTGTGATGTTTCTTTTTTCAAAGAGTATATATTGGTTTGTCAAGAGTGTTTCTTTGAGTTACAATAAAAGAAAATTCTTGTGTATTACCATGATTACACCCGTCCATATTTTCCCGGATCTTTTCCATCAAAGCTAAGTGTCACCTTTGGCTGAAGAAAAATTAAAACTCAACTCGGGATTTAGTTTCACTGCTCCATAATTTATTGGAATTTTTAAGAAATGGACACAAAATATACAAATACATCTAAATGCAAGGAGTATTGGTAGGCTAAAGACTCAGATTAGAGGGAGTGTGAAGCTCAGTTCACGTTTCAATGAGACATAGCTATCTATCCAGATGTTGTTCAGTACTAAAATACAGATATTGCTCTGGTTCTTAAATCACTAATAAAATGTATCAAGTCTAAACATTGTTCTAAAATTGTCCTTCACTCAAGATTGTGTGTCAAAATCCTACATGATAACTCATGATAACATTTCAAATCACAAGTTCCTGAGCTTAAAAAATCATACATTGATCACCACAAAATGCTGCCCCAAACAGGAATTCCCCTGGGAACACATTCCCCCTGTACAGCACCTGCACAGCACCTGCACAGCCATCCTACATCAGCTGCCTGCATTTCATTACCAACTTTGTTTGGTCGCCAATATACAATATAAGACTTAGAAATATTGTCATGTATAAAAACATTCATCCTAATTTATTTGCATTAAAAGTCACAAAATTTGAAAAATACGAGTCACTATTTTTTGTAGTTGCAAATCTAGCACATGATGTGGGTTTGGTCCAGCTGTCGACATGACACGGAAATCCACGCTGGCCCTTGTTCTAGCACTTTTGATTTTTCAACTATGCCCTATGTGACAATGTCTAAACCAGCCCTACCTACCTACCTGCCTACATAGTTCAGCAGCATGTACTATTGCCATCTAGATGTCAGTATATTAAACTATACAAATTCATGCATTTTTGTTTGTCAAGCAAATAAGGATAGACAAGCCACAAATGTCTTGGTTCAGCCACAACAAAACCATGAGAACAGCTCTTGCACATGCAGGAAACAAGGACATAACTGTGCAGAGGGGATAGGAATTCGCATAAAATATACCAAAATATGCTCTCTGTAAACTCTTTAGCCTCTCAATAGTTTCCAAAACACTATCTATAAACCTCTGTAGAAATTAATCGGTTAAAAAGCAGTCATAATTCGGCACATTGTGCCCAAAAAATAAAAGGGATCAAGACTGCTCTGAAAGATTTCATTGAATGGGACTGTCACACTGCAGACTAACAGCAACACAAGGTAGCAGACACTGACACAGGACACTGGTGTAGTTTCCCTTGCCATTTCTACACAGAATGTACAGCTGGGCTCCCATGACTGTCCTGGAGAACTGAGATTCATAGTGGTTCAAGGCAACAACTGAAAGATGCATCGCCAGGAATTGGATACCCTTGATGATAAATTGCAAAACCACCATCTTTAACAAGACGTATGCCATCTTACACTGCAGATCACGGTCAAGCTGTCTCAAAATATGGCAGTTAAAATGAAAATAGTCCCAGCTTTTACTAAATAGGGAATTAAGACATTTAGAAACAAATGAATATCAAAATATATATTGAACGTGTTATCAATAGAATATAATTTGAAATGAAGCATTGAGTCCCTCTGAGGTGCAAGGAATAGAATTCTACAGACTAGTGCCAAAAAGGAAACAGTACATGACCTTGACCTGTTACTTTAAGCTTGATCCGATCTGTCCCACATACCATTAATTGAAATAAATAACACAAGTAGTCAGTTTAACATTTCATTAGTCAAGAATACCAGTCTGAATGTGCCGTCAAATAACCAAACTACCATTCACATTCATTCTCTAACAGCAAACACAACACCACTCATTCAACTCGAGTACAAATTGGCAGTGATCGAATCATCTTTACTTCATAATATCTATCATGGCTTGTAGAAATGAATGTCTAAAATGTATGCAATGTTAATACACTACTCAAATAAAGTTAAGGACCACCTGATTCATTCATATTACTAAAGTTAATCTGTCATGGCACGAATAAACTATAGTAATATGAAAGAATCAGGTGGTCCCATACCTTTTTGAGTAGTATATCTTCAAGAAAATCATTGACTGACTATTCACGATTTGTTTGAAATACATCGAATGTTAACCAATTTAGTCTTGACGGCATATTCGACCAGCAGCAAGTATGGCAGCCAGCTAACTGTGGAGTGACCTGTCCAGGAAACCCAAACCAGATCTGTCACGTAGCTACAAGAACAGTAGTCAGAAGCAAACAAGAGCTAAGAATGCACACAAGATAACCACTAGAAGCTACGGCACCCATTAGACTCAGACTCTATACAAATTGTGAACACAGGAGACACATCCTTATATCTGTACACTGCTGGCAATCAATCACATTGTGACCAGAGCCTACTGGCAACCATGTTTTTGTTGTTTTGTCCCTGTGCTTCAATATGAAGATTCTTCAACCACTACTTATTCACCCTGAACATGGGAGTAAGAACACGTTACTAAAATATATACTCTTTTTTGAATATCTTACGAAATATAAATATTACAGGATTAAAAACAAGAATTGTTTAAAATTTTACATGTTTTTACAGCTGTCAACTCTGGTTGGTATTCAATGTACAAATGGTATAATTTTCTTTATTTCATAGGCAATATACACACCACAGTCACAACACATTTCTAAAATCCTGACCAATATCATGTCAAGCAAAGAAGCTACAGTAGAGGTTAGTCAATCGACTCATGAGTCGAACAATCAGTTCCTGACTTATTTTCTTCCATTTATTGCATTCCTTAAACCAGCTCTGCAGACCACCATCTTGCTCATTTCCTTTCCTCCACAAAGGTTTGGTCCACAGGTCCACGGGAGTTATCTCCCTTCCATCAACCGGCACAACCAACATCTCTCTACTCACGCTACTGTACATTTATGGGAAATCACCAGCAATTTGTTGGTGAGCCATTTCCAAAACATAGATAAAAATGCAAGATCTAAACGTCCCACAGTGTCTATCAAAGACAGAAGAGTTTCATGTTGGGCTTCACGGCCTTAAGTTGGAGTATTGGAGATTGTAGTCCCTCGTGTACGAAGCAGAACGAGCTCACAGCAAAGAGAACCCAGGAGGATAGCGAGTCACAAATGGAGCTAAAACAACCAGAGACCAAGCATGTGGATTCAGGCAGGGTTTACATGCTTGGTCCTTATTGGGAATTAAAATACTGATAAAAAACGTGAACATTGCACTCTAAATGGACTGACTAAAAAGCATGATGTTTTATATACATGTTATGATGGTTGAGATCAATCTTTGGTAATGTTAAGTACCTATACTTCCACCCAAAGAATGCATATATATATATATATATTATATATTTGGTGATTTGTCCCTGATATTAAGTAATAATTTCTCCGAATTGGATTTTGATGCGTGTAAATCAAATGAGTTTCTGTCAGGCATGTCTCGATTATTGATATGCAGAGGAAATGAAAAATGGCAAGACCATGTAAATAATTGTGAATAATGAAAATAAACATGGGTGCTATTTTGACCGATAAGCTATGAAATGATCTCAGTATGTTATGGCGATGGGTTCTCTTGCCGTAGCTACGTCTCGTCTGCTGGCCGACTCAGACTCTTTCTTGGTCCCAAACCACTCGTTAAGTTCAGCGTGCACCAACCTCCTTAGTATCATCCTCATCAACTAGCACAGCATTCCAGCACTGGGATACATCCTACAGTCTAGTCCTACTCACAAAACAAGGCTGGCTCAGGATGCACAGAGAAATTGCTCACTTGCTTCTAAACTTAAATGGTTAATCAGCACCTTTAGAACGCTGAAAAATAAATTATCTAGAGCAAAATGCTGCTTAATTTTCAACCAACAGACGCACACAGTGTCTGTCGCTGATGTTGTCTGTCTTTGCGGCAGTGCTTTTGGAATACAACGTTGAAGCCCCAGATCCCACCCTAAATACACAATGACATCGGAGATGAGGGAGGTATGTCTATGTACAAATGAGCACATCCCCTGTAACTTTGTGATGAATTTCTCTGTACATGTGACAAGAATTGACGAGAATTGATATGTTCTAGATCTATACAATGACTTGATGAGACGCCTGCAGGTATGTCCCCTATCTCTGCTTTCCAGTAGAGGGCGCACTGCTGCTGCTACTGCTGTTGTTTGCGTTGTTGCTGTTTGTGTTGTTGCTGCGACCGTTTTGTGTAGTGCCAACTGGCATCTCGTACTCCACGAACAGTGAAAAGTGATCTGATGGGATGTGAGGATGAGGACATCCAATAACTTTGTTCTGACGAAACCATTCTTCATCGAGTGGCCCTAGCATGCCAAGCATGTTCATGTGATCTTTTGAATAGAAGATGTAGTCGATGATGCCTTTGAAGTCATACCTGAAACAAACATGAATACATGAATCTTTACCCGAGTTTATAATAATTTCAGTAATAATTTCTCTATTACACATTGTTTCTTAATCCTTTTGAGGTTCCTTAAAGAAAGCTGCACTGATTATGACCGCCGTCTTAGAAAACTGCAGTTGTCAAATGACGTCAATCCTCAGCTATGATGTTGTTTCTAGTGTGACGTCATTCCGACCTTACATTATATAAGGTTTGAATGACATCAACAATGCCGTCCTGATAATGCAAACAAGACACTGGTATGGGGGAAGGGATATTTGCACTAGTGCACATACAGAGTTTATGTATTTGGTTATTCCTAACCCTATGGGTAATAAAGTCATCTATTCCTTCTTCCTTAATTCTTTAGTTCACGTTAATGTCATGTTACTACTTTACGCTTTTCATTTGATGAAACAGTAGGGTTTCAAGCAATGCTGTTCATATATTCCAGCAATGTCATCCAGGAACACAAAGCATGGCTTCACACCCTTCTGCAGGGACTGGGTGATGACCAAACCAGTGGTCTCTCAACACCATTTGTGGCAAGGTTATAGAACATGACATTTCCAGAACTGTCATTCAGTAAATTTAAAAAATCAGGACATATTTCACAAGACTCCTTAACCCACAAACATAAGTTCCGATCTTGTATGGAATCTGCTTGTTCCAACAGTAATTTCCTGTCACCTGACTACGGACACACACAAGAAACAGGTCTGGGTGTTTGTTGGAGAAGCCCTACTACAGTGTATCAGTACACACGCAGCGGTATCAACATCTACAAGTGCTACAGCCCTGCATGCTTCCAGGGTATCCAGCAGTGTGAGGGATGGTGATACGGCAGATATATCTCACCTAGTTCACCGCCTTACCTACGACCAACTCCAACAAACACAGCACAACCAAAGGACTGAGCATGAGATTGAGATTTCTTGCAAATTCTATCAGAACTGTAATTTTCATGACACTGGGTGTATAAAAAGAAATCTCAACTTTATTCTTGTTGTAAATTCACTAATTTAGTAAATAATTCATTAGTTAATTAACATCAAGAGTTTTCAACAGTGAATTTTACAGTTATTGTTATTATACAGCAATACCACAAAAAGAGCCTAAAAAATGGAAATATTTAACCAATAAATATGCAAGCCATGACGGGGACTGAAAACAGGCCTTGTAAAACAAGCAGGGGTCAACGTAACCTGCCATAATAACTAACCTGTATAGTGACAGTATAAGGACACCCTAAAATTGTACAAGTTCTCAGGACATCTTTATCATTAGAGAAACTGACTGGGGCTTGTGCCAAGTTGCATCTCTGCATGTGACCAGGCCACCCAATGTCTGCCGGCAACAACAGTTTATTTAGAAGTGGATAAGAAGTCTTACGTGTAATTTGTGTAGGGCATGACATCCATGTAGGCACGAGAGAGTCGGAAGTTGTGACTGAAGGACTCTTTCTCAATGGTTGTGTTGATTTTCTGAAGGCAGGAATCGTAACCTATTTCCTTGAAGTCTTCGTGGTTAGCTGCCACCTTCCCGGAGGTCAAGTACTCCACAACACCTGCAACAAACATCACATACATACATCCGGGTTCCACAACCATGCAAGACAATGGGGTCCTTTTGCTTCCTTAGTTCAATTACCATAGGACCATTGGACCAAACTTCATCCCTTAAAGTTACAAATTGAAAATGGTAGCTCAAACCACTAGCTGCTACCCACAGTATCATTGTCCATCTTAGTTTTGGAACATGCGTCTTGAAACCAAACAATAATAAATAAATTGCAAGTGATTCTGTGGCATCATGTATTATGGCGAAAGGTAGTCCATGGATCTGAAGATCTGAAAATGAAAGGTTCTCCGAACCTTGACAATCTGACATTTGTACCAGTGAGTGAGCAAGATCTACTTGCCACACGTAGCCAATTTCCAGCCATATCAGGGATGAGAACACTCAAAAAGTGACAGCCAACATTACAAGATATCCACAGCCGGGAGTGGTGCTAACCTGAGTCTGGTAGTGAGTTGAGATCACCACAGAGAATAAGAGGGATGTTGTTGCAGTCGATGGATGAGGACGATGAACCCGGGCGGAATTGATGTTGGGCCTCCTCGATAACCTGACGGAGCTCCGACATAAGCATCATGGTCTGGATGAGCTTGACGTCGCTGAACTCGGGGTCCCAGTGGATGTGGGCTGTGGCCACCAAGATCGGCTGCTTCACCTGGTGCTCTGGTGGGTAGGGACCTGGGGAGAGACAACATGGGAATTAGTTACAGACCAAACACTGGTCATTTTTCAACTTACAATGTGTGTGTAGTGTGTCCGTTGTGAAACGCTGCACTCAGCAATATTCAAGCTATATGACAGCTACCTGTAATTAAACTAGTCTTGTCCAGATAATCCAGTGATTGATAATGTCAGCAACGATCCAAGCTGTCATGGAAGTAAGGCATGCAATCAATCACTGAGCCTGACCATGGTCTGGTGGCCTCATCATAAGTTGCTAGGGACCTTTTCTAACCAAGAATCCCCCTGGGGGAATTTACAAATGCAATGAAATTCAGTATGGACACCAAGAATGGATTTTACACATTGCAGCAGTGTAGGAGCTGAACATGGGGGAGGTGTGGAGGTTCCTATTGTCACCCAAAATCCTGCACTCATAACAGGTAACAAGTAGTATTTGTGTTCTAATTCATGTGAACTTGGTAGACCTCAAACACTGACTAATCAATCAGAATTTCCAATGATTCTTCTTCTTTGACAATACAGGTTCTAAAAGACAATCATTCATCACTAGTCATCATCATCATCATCATCATCATCGTCTGCCTCAGTGATGATTGATGATGATGTTTTAATCGATGCCCAACACCCAGCAACAGTGAAGCAGCCCCACAGATGGGGTTGATTAGATGTGACAGGTTTGTGTTGTGTTCACAGCAGGACTTTGTGTGATGAAGAACATGAACCAACCCACAAGGGTTGATCTGGTAATGGACAAAACTAGTTCCCTGTTGGGATGTTACATATTGTACAATGTGATTAAGTCCTGGCTTGGTGCACCAGGCCACATGTGGAATACTGCGTAGATGTGGGCATCGTTGGAAATTCCATACACATGGAAGTATATGGTTTGACAAATAATAATGTTTGTTGCTTAATGCCACACTCAGCAATATTACAGCTATATGACGGCGGCCTGTAAATGATCAAGTCTTGACCAGACAATACAGTGATTGACATCATGAGCATCGGTCCACACAACTTGGATACAATGACATGCATCAACCAAGTCAGCTAGCCTGACCACCCGATCCCGTTAGTCTCCCCTTACAACAAGCAATGTTGCCTTTTACCGCAAGCATGGGTTGTTGAAATCCTATTCTACAATTGATCCTGTGTTTAAAGAAGTGAGTGGGTTGATCTGGCAGTGAGTGGGACTTTGATGAAGATACTGAAAACCCCAACAACATCGATGACATCACTGATGCCAAGGAAATAACAGTGGGAAAAAGAACTTCAAAAGTTCTTTGATAGGCTTTTAGACTTTTTGGCTTTTTTACATGTATATATCATAAAAACACCATACACAGATAATTAATGAAACAATTCACCCCAAACAAATGATACATCCATTACAAGGTCTATGTAAGATGTTTAAATCTCATTCTAATTCAGATTTCTAAGCCAGCCAAAGAACAAATGTAGGCATGTAAGTGACCGGAAGTAACGGTTTGTCCACTCATACATTACCACGTAAATACCAGAATACACCTGTAAGTACAAGCCCAGGGTCTGGTTTAGAGAAAGGCATAAAGGGCTATATAGAATGTGGCTAGAAATAGGCCTCGGGAACAAGAAATTAATACAAAGTATATGATAAGACTAATAACAGTAACAGTGAAAAGCTGGCGGCACATCTGGACAACCGGGAAGGGAATACATAACTTCTCAGTTTGCTTGAGGCAAGTGCAGTCAATTCTTCCCTGTGTAAAAATCAAGGAAACATGGTTCCAAAATTTTTAATGACCGTGTCTGAAGTGTGTGAAGAGGAGCCCGAGCTGGGAACAGGGCTGACGTATCTGGGAACACATGTGTCTGTGTTAGAAGTCCCTGCAGGGAGGCTGCACCTACACCTTCTCACCCCTCATTGCTACTACACACAAACAACCTCATCCTAATCAACACATCGCAGACAGAAACTGATCACATACCTCCCAATGCACAGAAATATGATAACATTCTCAGATGAGCAAGATCTTAGAACTTTGTACAAAAACCAGTATTTTGAAAACACGATCTTCTGTAATGTACTTAGAGACCCAAGGACATCAATAAACATGTTTGTGACATGGCATGACGTAACCATCAGTGCCTGTTGTGAGAAGGACGGAGTGAAGGAGCATGACGTCATGTTGTTGCTAATGTATAATCGTGTCACTGTCAGCAGAGGATGTATGTGGGTCAGCTGCGAGAACAGTAGGGGTGGACGCAGGAAGGCTGTGCTTCGATTGGAAGGCAGATCATCCAATGGGAAAAGGAGGATGGCAAACAACCCTCTAGATTTAAAACATTACGGTGTTTTGTAAAGCAGAAAATGGAATAATACAAAACACATATTTGTTTTTTCCCCTTTGATAGATGACTAAGAAAGCCCTGATCCTCCTGAAGCCGACACTCTGAAGCCAATATCAGGATATTGTGTTACTTAACATCAGGAACATTATTAAAAGACATTAACAGCACATTCAAGCAAATTATAAATTTGATACGTGAGGTTTTCTGATAATGGAAGTGGTTTATTTAATGCATATAATGATAGGCTGTCATGGTCACTTGACGTAATGGAGAATTTCGGAGCCTGTATTATTTAGTATTATGGTTAATAAGAAATGGTTTAACCATTATACGTATATTAATAAGTCAAATTTGCATCATTACAATTCAGGGCAATAATATATTTTTAAAGATCAATCGTCTTGATGAAAACCATGAGAAGTGTTTGATATACTACAATTATTACCTATCTGAATTGTCACTAAACCCAGAAGGAGAACAGCGCACACAATAAACAGACATTCTAAAGCTCTGCCTGGCCTACAGAAGTTATTTAATTGCACAAGAAAAGCTGTTATTTTATTGGACAAGGACAACCTTGGAAGACATTTACAGTGAAATTGCCACTGATGGAAGTAGGTGTACATGCATGAACACAGTGGTGTGAGAAGCGAGGTGGGCAGCCTCCCAACTTGGCCGGCCGTGTCCAGATCAATACCTCACACATGCTGTACATCAGGGTCTGGCCTGCCTCCATTCCGGTCAATGTCCATACTCAACAGATTGACCACAGAAGGGGCAGACCCACAATTAATCCATAGTGGAAGAAAATCAAGACAATCCTATCACCAGCCAGGTCAGCTGTTATAACAGAACGCTCTGTTCTTTATGCAAGATGGCTGTAAATGGTCCTATGGGGGTCATGGTAGAAGCAGCCAAGTCAGTGTGGATCCTGTGACATGAACCTGTGGAACCTGTCGATTCAATACAGACACAGCGATGACTCACGTCTAGAGAAATCACGGGTTCTACAGCCAGACAACACATTACTGCCAAATGTATAAATCACTGTTATCATGCCTGGGCAATTGAAAAACAGCTCTTAGCACCGTCATTGTTGAAAGTGTATTCAGATGGTCACATCGTGTTTTCTTGATACTGAAGAGATTATAAATACATGATCTTCTCTTGATACTGAAGAGACTATAATATATGATCTTCTCCAGAGTGTGAGTTGGATTTTACACCTCTTTTAGCATGGCACGGGACACCAGAAATGGGCTTCACACATTGAACCCATGTAGGGAATCAAACCCGGGCCTTCAAGTGTGATGAGCGAACACTTTAACCACTCGGCTACCCCACCGCCCCGATCTTATCTTGATAAGGAAGAGTTAATGTATTCATTGTCTTTACATCAGGTCTGAGGCTCCATCAGTCTTAATGTATTATGACATGAAAATTATACAAACTATACATGATCCATTAACCAAAACAAGAAAATCATGCTTCTGTTAAGACGATGACATCAAGCTGACCTGGTTACACCAGGAAATGCCTGATCAAGCAAGTTGAAGCTGGTCACAGAGATCAGACATGACCATGCACCTGAAGTCCTCATTCCATCGTCTTGGGTAACAGCTGTCAAACTACGACCTATCTATCTCAGTAGGTAGTGTAGCTTCCGGATGTAAGCGAGTCCAGACTCGTTCGACACCCACCCATGTCGACATGGACAGACATACAGACATGCCTACTAGAGCACCTGTCATGTTAGTGCTTGTGTCATGGCAGGTCTGTTGAACATGTGTCATGCTATCTGCCTTGACCCATTCATGGATATCTGAGCTGTCCGAACAAAGGTTATTAGATGAATATCCTTGTCTTAGAACACCTATATCCTGAAAGAGGCCTGTGAAGATCTGGGGTAGAATAGGCCTTCACAACCCATGCTTGCCGTAAAAGGCGACTATGCTTGTCTTAAGAAGCAACTAACGGGATCAGGTGGATCGTTGCTCATGATGTCAATCACTGGATTGTTTGGTCCAGACTCGATTATTTACAGACCGCCATCATATAGCTTGAATATTGCTGAGTGCGGCATTAAACAACAAACAAACAAAAACATCCTGTCAGAAATGTTCTTTGCAAGGCCATACCAATTGTCCTTCTTGTATACAGTATACGCAGTGTTCGAAATTAAAGAGGGTGCTGGCATCGTCTTCTGTAGCCTCTGAATCTATAAATAATAGGGCTATGACAGGTACACCTTGACACACCTAGTTTCGAACACTGATACACATACCCTAATGACAAAAAATGAAGTTCCTCAAGTAGTTCTTGTGCAGCAGCAAGTCAGGAGAGCAGTATGCTCCGGTGTAAGCACTCGAATACTGCATCACAGTGCACTTGTACCAAGTCCTACCACATGGCGCAAGTCATTTCTCAAAGGATGTATACATGACTTTGTTTTCACAAGTTAAGTGGATTGCACATATGAATGGCAGACAGTGTGTTGAGTTTGAATGGCATGTAAACAATCCCATGCCTCACTATTGAGTCGACATGTCAGGTTGGTTGGTTGGTTGGTTGGTTGGTTGTTTAGGCTGCACTCAGTAATATGCCAGCTATATGACGGCGGTCTGTAAATAATCGAGTCTGGACCAGACAATCCAGTGATTAATATCATGAGCATCGATCCACGCAATTGGGATCGATGACATGAATGGATCTACAACAATCCTAGCGGAGTGAGTGAGTGAGTGAGTGAGTGAGTGAGTGAGTGAGTGAGTGAGTGAGTGAGTGAGTGAGTGAGTGAGTGAGTGAGTGAGTGACTACACATTGCTCAACTAAACACCATCAGCTAGGATCAGGACCATGCCAAAAGTCATCACAGCATTTTGACAGTCAAAAGTTCAATAAATACAACCGTCCAAGCACTATGGACGTCACTTCTCACATTCATGAACACCATACATTCACCTAGCTACAGCTGCTGAAAATCCCCACTAACACAGCTTAGATACAGTGTAAAGATTCATGGTGTAATACAATACAGTCAGTATTAGTAAAGAGAGCTCTGGTTTAGAACAGAAAGTGTGTGGATGTGAGTGTGAATGAGTATGTCAATGTCAAATTTAATAATAAATAAATCTAAGTTCATAATATCCATATGTCTAACATCAATCTTACTATTAGCATCAATGAACATAAAAATAGCTTCTGAAATTCATTTAATAACCTGGCCTGTGTTTTCTAAAATTGTATATCTATTCCAACTTGGGCCAGACACTACCCTGAGTGTCTGGCCTCATCTGCAACAGGGACTCAGAAACATGTATCAATTACATAAAAATAAAACTTCCAAGAGAAAAAGAAAACATAAAAAGAAAGAATGAAAAGAGAGCTCTAGATCAAACAATGATATCCGCCAGTGGAAGGCCCTCAAGTTCAATCACTACCAGTGATTGTACACTACTCACCACTATGATCAAAGACATCTTTCTTGGTTTCCAAAAGTGCCGCCAAACCAATATTGTCCTTGGTCATCACTCTGTTGAGCATGTCGTCATGGCCCTCTGCATTGGCCATCGCCAGCTGGTTGAACTCAATCAGCTGCTCCTTCACCAGAGAAAATCTGAGCAGGGCCAAAGGAAACATTTAAAATTGAATCAAACTTATTGGAACAAACAATCTAGCGGCATATTCACACCCAGTGCCTTTAGCTTCAAGGATGAAATGACACATTCACAAACAATCTAAATTTACCTGCATATTAACTGCATCCTACTTGTCTTCATAGGCATTTAGAAGTTGGGTGTAAACAGGGCAAGGAACATTATTATGGATAACCAGTTCTTTATTGGGAATATCCCCTACCTGGTATCATTATCATAATAACACTCCTTGTCATGCATCATACTTCATGTATTACGGTTTGTTAAATCTAACCGGCTCTCATTTCAACTGGACATTTCACAGTCCTTCCAAAGACCCAGTACAGACCTGAACCTAAGCATGTCATTTGTATTTCACCCTCCAAAATTGTGTACAAGTAGTTAATATCCTAGTCATTGCTGCATGCAACAGAAAATATTTGCAAATTATGACTATGAAGACATGACACTCCATTTCAAAAGAAGTTATCCATAAAAGTCGCATGTCTTCATGTTCCTCCACGTCTACAAGCCCATCAAAGACTTAAGTTATTCCAGTATATATGAAGTCTAATGACGCATGCATGTTTACAATGAAGCAAGCAATTTTCTGGGACATAAACATGACAGCCAGCAATTTCAACAAGCTGGAAACAGTCAGTCGTAAAATACATACAAAAATTACATTTGATTGCTGCCATTTCCAGACAGTTTAACCCAGGGCAAGGTGGCAGCATGGTGACCTACATAGGATTGGAAACTCCATTGAATTCTCAAACTGTTGATGCCTATTTATGAAGCATGTGACAAATCGAGCACCAGCAGGGTAATCAGGGCGGTAATCAGGGCCGTGACAGAGATCATCTCCCAGCCAATCATGACTCCGGTGGGACCTATCATCAACTATGGTATTCAACTATAGTACGTATTCAATAGGGCAGTGGAGCGACTCTGCTGGCTGGCCCAGATCACACAGTTGGACACAAATACCTAATTAGGACAATTGGGTCTCATGATTGGGGCATCTCTAGAACATGTGACTGTGAAATAGGCATTTAATCTACTGGCACCAGTGGAATCGGGTCAGGTGAGTCAGGGTGAGGCACTACGCTACGAGACACTACGAGACAGCATTAGGGACCACAGGGTAACAGCTGACATTATCAAGACAATTGAAAGATACTGTTCAACAATATTTAATATATTTAATATATTTGTATAAATGTCTGAAATGAACACATGCGGCAGGATGAGTCAACACCACGAGATCACATGGCACAAATGGCAACAGCTACAGTGTTCACTGAATCAGTACACAGATAAATTTATCATATCTAGACAATTGCAAAGCACCACTCAAACTAATATATGATGCTGGACAATATTTAACATCTTTGAATTAAGTTCATGAAAGTTCCAGAAATGAACACAAAATGCAAGAATGCTTTGAAACCTGACAAAGTCACAAAGTGAAGTGACCCTAGAAGATTCCGGGGTAGAATAGGTCTTTAGCAACCCATGCTTGCCGTAAAAGGTGACTATGCTTGTCGTAAAAGGTGACTAACGGGATCGTGTAGCCAGGCCTGCTGACTTGGTTGATACATGTCATCGATCACAATTGCGTGGAACGATGCTCATGATATCAATCACTGGATTGTCTGGTCCAGACTCGATTATTTACAGACCGCCATCATATAGCTGGAATATTGCTGAGTGCGGCATTAATCAACAAACCAACAAACCAACCAACCAACACAAAGTGAAGTAAGAGTACTGTGACCCGAGAAGACTAGCAGTGCCCTCAGGGCTATTAATAACTCAATACCTGACCTTGCCTCATTGAAAAGGACATAAGTAAACATCCTCTGGTCATCATAGAGTAGGACAGTGTTTGGCAGAGCTGACAACTGTACGTTACACCAATCTGACTAATGCACATGCGACATAATACAGTCTGTTAATGGACAGGGTTGAATCGATCATTGTAGTAATTCAATTAGTTGAGTAAATGTATGTAGTGGAGTGAGTGGTTGCATGGAGTTGTATGGGCTCCGTGGAAGTCAGGTACACCCTGCCAGTGTGTGCTACACAGAGTGAAGCAGAGAGGGAATGTTTTCTGCTGCAGTCAGCAGTATTACACCTACATCGCAGCGGCGTCTAAATAAAAATGTCTCAGTGGTTTTACATTATTCATTTCTATTTCACTGATTAATATATTTATCAAGATTTAAAGTTGGTTCAATACTATTGCAATACTGTTGCAATAGCTGACAACTATCGCAATACTGTTGCAAAAAGATGGGGTTCCATTTGCCATCATCTGCAATAGTGAAAATAGATCCAATAGTCACCTTAAGGTAAAAAGGGCCTATTCTGCCCCAGAATTCCTATGGGGTCTTTGAACAAAAGGGAATGACAATATGGTGTATATATTGATCAATGATTTTCTTTCTTTTCCGCTGAACTCATATTTATTTTAATACTGTTATATTTATCACAACAAATTTCAAGTTTGTTTCTTTGTTTGTTGTTTAACGCCGCACTCAACTATAGTTCAGCTATATGACAGCAGTCTGTAAATAATTGAGTCTGGACCACCAGATAACTGACATTATGAGCATTATGAGTGAGTGAGTGAGGTTTTACGCCGCATTTAGCAATATTCCATTGTACATTGTACATTGTACACATTGTACCCATGTCAGGAATCGAACCCGTGTCTTCGGCGTGATGAGCGAACACTTTAACCACTAGGCTACTTGACCGCCCCTTCAAGTAGGAAAACAGCATAGGAAAGTATCAATTTAGCAGTGTTTATTTCAGTTTTTTTCCAAGAACATTGCTACTTACTTTGATGTTCTGAAGAAGATGGCACAGCCATCCACATGTTTCCTCTCTTGTTCTGTCATTGTTCTTGCTCGAGATTTGGGTGAGAAAATACCGTCATACCCATCTTGTTTCAGCTCCGGGAGGAACATGCTGTAGAACTGGTCAGTCTCAACCTCCTGCAACACAAGCAACACCATCATTACATATGTTACACAATGTTTGTTTATAGATTAACGCCGCACTCAGCAATATTCCAGCTATATGACGGTGGTCTGTAAATAATCAAGTCTGGGCCAGACAATCCAGTAATCGACATCATGAGCATCGATCCACGCAATTGGGATACAATGACATGCATCAACCAAGTCAGCGAACCTGACCACCCAATCCTGTTAATCGCCTTTTACAACAAGCATAGTTGCTTGTTACCGCAAGCATGGGTTGCTGAAGACCTATTCTACCCCGGATCTTCATGGGTCTGTCACACAATGAGAACACAAGCAAAAGAATCAGAAGAGAAGAACAAGGCACAGAATCAAATACTGAAGCAGTGGGGTAAAATGGGGTTTAACGTCATGTGCAAGATTCAAGAATATTGCACTTATATAGAGACATCAGAATACACAAGTAGTGAGGCAAAATGGGGTTTAATGTCGCGTTACAGATTATCCCACCTCTATAGCAATATCAGAATACTGAAACACAGATCATCAGCAGGGAGTATGTTGTACTTGGTCCATAAATGTTCATAAATGTAAGCTTCTATCTATTTTCAAATACAGATAAGTGAGTAATAAACAAAAAGATTGCAACAAATACTAACGCTGGATGAATATTCGAGGAAGAAAAATCCGTCTGAAGATACCATTTTGTGGCATTTGCCACTTAACTTCCAAATAACTTCTTCATTAAAACAACATGGTCCATGTAGGGAGTGAGTGAGTGAGTGAGTGTGGTTTTACGCCGCTCTTAGCAATATTCCAGCAATATCAGGGCGGGGGACACCAGAAATGGGCTTCACACATTGTACCCATGTCGGGAATCGAACCCAGGTCTTCGGCGTGACAAGCGAACACTTTAACCACTAGGCTACCCGACCACCCGGTCTATGTAAGATGCATGTTACCGTGTATGTCAACATACAAAATCCCTTATAAATGTTAGTCTCCCCAAAGGATGAGAACAGATTGTACTTTACAGAGAGCACCTCCTTTCCCTTCGGTGAAATCCTCAGTAACTCAACTCTTGTCAGCATATTTGTCAAGCAGGATCAGTATGACAAACCAAATGACCATTATAACACACTGCAGCAGGACCTTCACATCCAGTAGCCCCTAGTACACATCATGCTAATGGCTTGGTCTTAAGGTGATTCCACATCAGAACATTAATCAAGATTTCAGAAACAAAAGAATTTCCATGTTGAGTGGGTTTTTTTTCTGAAGAACATTTTTTGTTTCTTCTGTAATTGGAGACAGCAAGACGAGAGAACATGAAGACATTGTGAAACTAGAGCTCCAAGGTAAAAGACTGAACAGGGCATTGCAACACCTGGCTCCACTGATGAGGAAACACCTGTCACACGTAGTGAGTGAGTGAGTTGGGTTAAACGCCGCTTTTAACAGTATTCCAGTTATATCACAGCGTGTCAGCTTGATGTGGGAGGAAAGCCCGAAGTGATGCAGGTCTCAGACGTTTACCACTTCGGTGAAATCCACAGGCACGGGTAAGGTGCTGACAAACCTAGAAACATAATTGGGGCGAACCGGGATTCGAACCCACAATCATAGGTTTCTGGCGTGCCCAAGGGACGCAACTCTGCACAGCAAATCGCGGCGCCTTAGACGACTTGTCCACCCGTGTCCCCTGTCACACGTAACACTAAGACATCACTGTTCATGTAATGATTAAGATTGATTATACTTGACCAAGATACCACAGACTCGTTGATGGTTGAACATTTGACCACGATACCATTGGTGGTTGATACATGTCTAGTAGTTCTACAAGATACCACTGATCAGTTAAGTGAATCAAATTCAGTCACGGAAACCTTATAATTACAGGCTTGCCTGCTAGTGTCAAAGTGCTTGTCATATACAACTCAAAATAAGTTAAAGAATTCCTGATTTTTTTCTCATGACATAGATAATCTGACATGGCCATGGATTAAGTACAGTCATATGAAAAAAATCAGGTGTTCCTTAACTTCTTTTGAGTAGTATATATCAGTCCACATGGGATGTGTTACAGGTCTTGATCAACACTGGATCTTGAGAACAGAACCTTCGTGAGACATATGCTAAAGGACATTAAACTCACCAGGCTGCCACGTGGCATGCGCTGTTTCTTCAAAACATGAAATGTATGGAAATATTTTAAATGTCCTATCCTTGTGCCTACCACTGTTTCCCTGACAGCCAGAAATCTCATGTGAGGGGTAATCACTTAAATAGTTTGAAAGCAAATAAGGAATTGGTCCAAAGTAGTGAAATACTAGCTGCAAGACGATTGATGGTCTAATTCAACTGTTGCACCCATCTTTCACTTAATCCTGTTTTCATGGCTGCCAACCCTGAAGGGAACTTGAAACTGTTTCATGAATGAATCCAGGTTTCCATGCCCAGACAGGTCACACAGCAGTGAGGGATTGACCCGGATGTCCAACTGGTTTTATTCACAAATGATGTTCACTTTCCATGTCCTCATCATCCAAGATGGTGGCTAATCATGACAAGCATGGTATCTCTCAACATGTTCTGTGGGTGTGCCTCCTCCATATTGATTTTCTAGCTTCCTTCTCTATATATGCTTCAACAAGTCCAAAACAAGAATTATGCATGCTTTTGAAGGGTTATATGTTAAGAGAGTTGTTTGTTTCTGTAAGTACTATTAACTACTTACTGTTGGTCTGAAACAAACACACCAATTGATTTCCCTGTCTGGATAACGTCACACCCACCCCTGGCAGCATCTATTCCCAGCCCGGATCTTCATTTCCATTAATCAACACCACCCAAGCATAAAGCAACAGAACAAATATTTAATGTCGCCAGGTTTGTTAAGAACATCGACTTGTCCTAGGGCCCTTCTCCCTTGCAAAGTACCAACAACCTTAGTATCAATTACACAATTTATTTTCACTCCACTTGATAAAGATATCAATGATTTTGCTGGAGGGGGATGTAGGGCTGTATTTACCCAGGACTGGATCACCAAACACTCTGAACTGAGCAACATCACCCTACACCCTGGAATGTGACCGCCAAACAACAGAATGTCACAACATCATGAATTTACATAAACAGTTCAGTGTTGACTTAGCATAAATTAATTTACGTTTTTTCACTAATACTTTATTACAAAGTAGACACAATATATGGATACCAATTTATGGATAACAACAGTAAAAATATATAAGTTGTTATATATAAACAAGTTGTTTTCCAAAAATTGTGTCTACTTTGTCATCCGTCAACTTCTAAGAAATGCCTATCAAATAATTTAATACTTTATTTCGTTCCTGTGTTAACATTAGGACCACTGACCGAATGTCCAGATGGAGGCTGACTCATGGAGGGAATATTCCCAATCAGATCATGATTAATTACACGCTAACAATTTCAGGTATTGCAGGTATGTAGGGGTTAGCTCTGACAGATACAGAACGGTACACCTATTTACTGTTATATCCAGCATATACACTCATCTCTCTCTGTTGCTATGGGGATGTCAAATTCGCTTCCTGACCCTGCCACATAGTAGCTTCTGTTGAGGATAATCACAAACTAGGTATACTACTAATCTTCATTACTAATTAGTGTTTGGTGTGACAGTTATTAAAGCAAACATTTAAGGTAAGAATCAATATATTTCACTTAGTATGCCACTGTGATCGATGCAGCGGAGTATCGTCCCACTACTAAAGACAAGACACATACACATCTGACAAAAACCTTTGGGTCTCCTAGTCCAAACTTGTCTTTTGGAATCTTTTACATTAAAACAAAGTTTTGTAAATTTAAGTAACTATTTGTGATAATTAGGGAAAGCCTTGATTAATCTTCAGGAATCCAAGGTAACTCAGTGAATTCATTTTAAGCAGGAGAATGCCTCAGGCTAACGGCCTTGAAAAAACCCAAGAGCAAGAGATTTCAGACTTTCTCCTCCCCACTGACTTAAGTCTTAGAAGTAGATACTAGTTACTAGCTGATCTTACTGGCCTGATAGACATTTCACTCGATGATGGCTTCTGAGTAGTGGTTGGAGAAGCAGATGTATCATTTGTTTGTTGTTTATGCTGCACTCAACAAAATTCAAGCTATATGACGACGACCTGTTAATAATCAAGTCTGGAGCAGGTAATCCAGTGATGGATAGTGTGAGGTACGATCCATGTCGTTGGGGTAAGATGACACACAATCAACCAGGTCACCGAGCCTGACCACATGGTCCATTTGGTTGCCTCCTACAACCAGCATAGGTTGCTGGGGACCTAGTCTTACCCGGAATCTCTGCTGGTGTGCAGACTTATCAGGGTTTGCTTGTATTGAATTCAAACTGTGCTTGCATGATTTCTAACCCATCCAAGTATATGGGTTTATGTGAATGCCATTTGGGGACGAAATACCAGCACAAAGAGCAAAAGTCAAACGAAAAGGTTTTAAGTTGAATACTTGCTTTCAGAAAAGAGTGGAAAATCATGCATGTGTAAAGGGGGAAAAAATTCAATATTTTGAGTAAAGAAAGTCAATTCTGTCCTCAAAGGGAATCAGGGAATAGTGTTTAACAAATAAAAGTACTGCTCCTGTCTACAGCCTTCAAACAAAGGGAAAAGCAAAGGTTTTTAGTTGAATACTTGCTTTCAGAAAAGAGTGGAAAATCATGCATGTGTAAAGGGGGAAAAAATTCAATATTTTGAGTAAAGAAAGTCAATTCTGTCCTCAAAGGGAATCAGGGAATAGTGTTTAACAAATAAGAGTACTGCTCCTGTCTGCAGCCTTCAAACAAAGGGAAAAGCAATTATATTGGTCATAAACAATTATAACCTGCAAAATACTGTGTTGATGCCTACATAACTACTCCCATGGAAATCAGCTCATTGAGGCTGATCAATGCTAATCCATATCATCTCAAAATAACTGCCCATTACTGAACAGTGGACGAGATCCGTGTTATCACACACCAAACACGGCAATTAGTGGGGGGCTCAGCTGTTGTCATGTGACAAAATGTGCCAGCTATGTTTCCGAGCAGGTTAATTAAGGAGGCAGCTAAAGGACGGTGTTGGGTGTTTCCTCAACAATAATACTGACAGATTTCACTTTTGTTTGTGTCACGACATTGTAATTAAACCTGACAACCCTACAGGCTTGACTTGCAAACATTACAGGTACTTCCGCTGCATGTTATCACTGCACGTTATTCAGTGACCCTATTTCCACTGCACGTTCCACAGTGACCCTATTTCCACTGCACGTTATTCAGTGACCCTATTTCCACTGCATGTTACGCAGTGACACTATTTCCACTGCACGTTATGCAGTGACCCTATTTCCATTGCACGTTACGCAGTGACCCTATTTCCACTGCACGTTACGCAGTGACACTATTTCCACTGCACGTTACGCAGTGACCCTTTTTCCTCTGCACGTTACGCAGTGACACTATTTCCACTGCACGTTGCTCAGTGACCCCAGTCCCTATTTCCATTGCATGTTACGCAGTGACCCTATTTCCACTGGACGTTATGCAGTGACCCTATTTCCTCTGCACGTTCCGCAGTGACCCTATTTCCTCTGCACGTTACGCAGTGACCCTATTTCCTCTGCACGTTACGCAGTGACCCTATTTCCACTGCACGTTACACAGTGACCCTATTTCCTCTGCACGTTACGCAGTGACACTATTTCCACTGCACGTTTATGCAGTGACACTATTTCCTCTGCACGTTACGCAGTGACCCTATTTCCTCTGCACGTTACGCAGTGACACTATTTCCACTGCACGTTACGCAGTGACCCTATTTCGACTGCACGTTACGCAGTGACACTATTTCCTCTGCACGTTACGCAGTGACCCTATTTCCTCTGCACGTTACGCAGTGACCCTATTTCCTCTGCATGTTACGCAGTGACACTATTTCCTCTGCACGTTACGCAGTGACCCTATTTCCACTGCACGTTACGCAGTGACCCTATTTCCTCTGCACGTTACGCAGTGACACTATTTCCACTGCACGTTACGCAGTGACACTATTTCCACTGCACGTTACTCAGTGACCCCAGTCCCTATTTCCACTGCACGTTACGCAGTGACTGGAATATTGCAAACAAACCAAACCAAAACTATTGATACTGTTATTAAGTATAACAAGGAACACCATAAATGCATATCACAAATTGAACCATGTTGGGAATTAAACCCTCCTAATGTTAACTTGGGGTTGGACCTGTGAAGATCCGAGGTAGAATAGGTCTTCAGCAACCCATGCTTGCCGTAAAAGGCAACTATAATTGTCGTAAGGGTGTTCAGGCTTGCTGACTTGGTTGAAGCATGTCATGGACCCCAATTGCGTGGATCGATGCTCATGATATCAATCACTGGACTGTCTGGTCCAGACTCGATTATATTTACAGACCGCCGTCATATAGCTGATATATTGCTGAGTACTGTGTTAAACAACAAACAAAATAACTTGAGGTCGTGACCCTACCCTTCACCTCTCCTATGTCCTATGTATGTCCATCTAGCTTGGAGCAGTACAGGGTCCTATCAATGAATGGTCAGCTCCCGATCAATCAGCCCCCCTCACCATGATGTACCCCATCTCTTAGAAGCACCAGGGGCAAGCTGTCTTATCACAGCTCACCCTCAAGCTAGTTGTGAAGGTCACTTTTAGGTGAGACAATGTATTGCCCTGGGTGTGGATTGGAACTAACGAATACAAGCACTTATTGATTACTTTGTAAAACTTCCGGTCTCAGACATAGTAAAAAACAAAATTCAACTTCCAAATTTCAAAAGTGTGAAAAAACATTCTCTGTTGATTTCACTTGGGAGAAGAGTGAGAATTGTGACTTTGACAGGTGACGGAAAATTATCCTAAGATTTTGAAAAAGAGTTATAGTTTATTTAATGGCTAGCACATGTAATATGAAAACACATTGGACACGTTGATATAGATAGAGAAAAAGCAAGGAGATGCTGACAGGGCATCTTCACATGACGTCAAGGGACATATGAGGAGGAAAGAACTGGTAATGGAGTAAAGTAAGATTCACTACCACTGAATGTATTCCTAAACTGTCACTTTGAACAGATCTCCATTAATTCAGCGCACAGCAGCATCTCCATTAATTCAGGGCATAACAGCATCTCCATTAATTCAGGGCATAACACCATCTCCATTAATTCAGGGTATAACAGCGTCTCCATGAAGTAGTTTTTTAGTTATAGGTGGCACAAATGTCTCAGTAAAAGAATTCTAAATAAAAAAAATTCTAAATAGCTGTATTTTTCCAGAAAATCCACATATTGAAATCTCTCCAATAGGTATAAAAAGTGTTCATAGACTTTGAAAAGAATCTATGCAGTAGTTTACAAGTTATGGGTCGCACACAACAAAGTACTCGGAAGGACAGACAGACGAAATTCCTTGGTATAACTATATACCATGATGCTAACAGACAAAGAATCTGAAATTTGAACCTACGCTAAGTGGATGCTTGGAAGGTGAAGGGATGCAACTCTGCACAGTTACTTGTGGCATCTAAGACTACTTGGCCACCTATTCTTCCACAAAGATATGGTAGAATCAGAAATATGGCCCGAGAATGTATGGGAACCCTTTTTTCCTTGCAGGATTTTGGATAGCATCAGTATGTGTCTGCACTAAGAAAGCAAGACCATGCTCAGCCCTTTCCGAGATACCACACAGAATGTTGGCATGGTATCTAGGGGCCAAAGGTTGTCTTGTGTAATGCTGAAACTCTGTAACTGGCAAACAACCAATGCTCATCCAAAAACAGCTCACAACACAATGGATTTTTTTCACACCAGAAAGTGACACCATGTCTAGTTGAATCACTCAACATGTTCTCATATAAAAGTCATTAAGGCAGAAAGAACCAAAACTTTCCGTCAGCCTGAGAGTGCCACAGATGCATCAAGTCACTTGTTCATGTCACTCAAGGTACGCAGGACATTTCATAACAACCAAGTACACATGTGACAACTGTTATAGATATACAAAAAAGGAGAAGATTGTTTAACACTGCACTCAGCAATATTCCATCTATATGATGGCAGTCTCTAAATAATCGAGTCTGGACCAGACTATCCAGTGATTGACATCATGAGCATCAATCCACGCAATTGGGATATGATGACATGCATCAACCAAGTCAGCGAGCCTGACCACCCAATCCCGTTAGTCGCCCCTTACGACAAGCATAGTCGCCTTTTGCGGCAAGCATGGGTTGCTGAAGACCTATTCTACCCCGGATCTTCACGGGTAAAAAACAATCTCCACATCTAATGGTTAAAAACATTTTTCACCAAAGGTATAAACAGTCGCTTCCTTATCTACTAAAGAATTCCGGTTAAGTAGTATCTGTCTTAAGCAAGTCAATAACATTATACGCAGGAACTGGACATTGGGGCAGATTTGGTAATTGGAAGAATAGCCACCATTAATCCCAGATAATGAGTTTGTAGTTGGGCACAAAGTCCGACATAACCAGATTACCTGTAAGCTGATGATGTCTGCGTTACAGCCACGGATCTCTTCCATGATCCCCTTCTTTCGGTACTCCCAGTTGAGGGCCCAGGACGGGCAGTAGCCGTACTGCTGGCGGGTGCAGTACTTGTCACACAACACATTATAACACATCACAGTGAAGATAGCTGAAACACAATGGAGGACATGACGTCAACAGGAGCACAATGCAACACTACTAGTCCAAAACAGTGAGTGAGTGAGTGAGTGAGTGAGTGAGTGAGTGAGTGAGTGAGTGAGTGAGTGAGTGAGTGAGTGAGTGAGTGAGTGAGTGAGTGAGTGAGTGAGTGAATCTGAGTTGTCGGTGAAATACCCAAACACAGGTAAGGTGCTGATGAACTAGAAACAATTATGGTGAACCGAGATTCAAACCAGTCATGTTTATGGAAGGGTCCACATTTGGAGACTTGAACAAGTCCCTATACCAATAGCCTGACTAGCGGTTAATGTCACTGACTTGCATTTGCCTTGTACATTCCTCAACCTTCAACTTGAAGTTTGGATATATCATTGTACATCCACAGAATATTGGGGCAACATGTATCTACGACAGAAACATGTAGCAGAATATTTTTAAAACCCTTGATAAAATTTATGAGCACAGTATCTAAGCTCTTCATGATTTTATACATTAATGTAACTGTGTAAAGTGATCTGACAATTATGACATGACTCTTGTGGACATATTGATCTGGGAAGGACAGCACTGCAATCGTCAATTCTGCAGTAATAGTGTACAATCTTTAATCATGAATAATATTTGTGTATCTTCTTGTAACCTGAATTCCATCTTTTAATTGAATAATATAAGCTTCTCTTTAGATGTTTACAGAACACAAGTGTCCTCTCTAAAGTCTACATGTGTCAAGTTTCAATTGTAATCTTAAAGGTTTTAACTTTTAATTTTTTAATGCATTTTAAATGCAGGATCCTGCCATTTCTTTCTGTCAAACAAATTAAACTGGATTTCACCTGGGGGGGAAATTGCAGGTGTGCATGTGCTTCTCGTAAAGTGCAGTCTTTCAACATAAGCCTTGGGGGATAAACAATGCAAAACAACATTACAAGTGATACCTCATAATTTTGTAAAGAGACAAGCTTCCTTTGTTCCACGCTCTCCAAATTGTGGGAAGCACAATACGATGCAAAGCTATCATAACAAGGTTTTTTTCAGGACAACCTTGTAACCACTGAACCAGCTGAATTGGTGATATCTGCCCTTGGGCAAGTAGCTGTGTAAAATACCTGTCTACAAAGATACTGGTAGATAGTTCAGACATGACTGATATAGTGTGTAGTTATCTCTGGGTTACTACCCAGCACACCATTATAAACATGTGAGTGAGTGAGTGAGTGAGTGAGTGAGTGAGTGAGTGAGTGAGTGAGTGAGTGAGTGAGTGAGTGAGTGAGTGAGTGAGTGAGACTTTAGTGAAACTCCTGAGCATGAGTTTGGTCCTGACAAACCTAGAAACATAACCAGGTTAACCGGTATTGAACCCATGATCATAGGTTTCAGGCATGTCAAGTTTAGCACATATAACTACGCCAACTGAGCCCTCTCAGCATATAGGCATGTCTTTAACACCACACTCAGCAATATTCCAGCGACATGATGGCAGCATGGAAATTATCCAGTCTGGGACAGATAATACAGTGATCGATAATGTCAGCAACGATCCATACTGTCAGGCAATGCAATGCAATCAACAAAGTCAAGGCATAAATACACAACTTTAAACATGTACAAGTATAGAGTGTGTGAGTGAGTGAGGGAGCATGGTTTTACACTGTTCTTAGGAATTTTCCAACTATATTATGTGGGGAAGCGAACCCAGGCCTTCAGCATAATTAGAAAACGCTTTAACCGCTGTGCTACCCTGCCCCACGGGCAGCCATATGCAGCACGGTAATGCATCCCAACTGCCACCTTGTCCAGGTGTTGATTAGCATGGCCCAGGTGGTTGTACTGCAACCACTGTTGATAGTGAAACAGCCTCAACCGACATGGGCTGAAATGGGGGAAGACTCGGGCTATGTGAGGTATTTGTCATTCCAGACAGCGGAGTGTGTCCATGCATTAACAGTAGACATGTCACTGTATGCCTTAACCCACTAACAACAACCCCAGCACAAGACAATAGCATGTGCATACAAGCTGACAGTTTTTCACATTGAGTACACATTGACCAAGCCAGCTCTATTTTAACAGTTACAGTTAAACCCAAAGATGAACAAGTAGAAAAGATCGTCAAATTGATGGAAGTTCTTAGTTGTGAGAAGTTGTCCTTCAATTCGCAGTTATAACACTTGAGAGGTTACAACACAGAGGTTACAAGGCTCAGTGAGGATCAGGTCACTTCCTTTGAAAGGCTAGGCTATAGAGAGGGTGTTGTTTACATATTGAATATAGGGAATCAAGTTAACAAAACTATTAGCAATGTCAAAGGCATGTGAGACAAGGGGAACGTATATCTCTTATCCCATTGGTATCGACTGACAGAAAACATACAATTACACCTCATGACTCGGGACCTGTAGAGCAGGTAGTGATTGTGTTTGTGCATTTTCCATCTCTGTTCTATCAGTATGCACAGTGAATTTGGCTGTAGTCAGCAATATTTCACAAACATACTACAGCTAGGGGGTAAAGGGAGGAGAATGGACAAGGCAAACAATGGCCAATAAATGTGACAGTGTCTTCACAAATAATTTGACATAATCCAACCTTAATCAACAATCAATAATACTATTCTTTCATATGATATTTTCAAAGTATGTAAATTTCACCATGTTTTCAAACCATAAAAAAGACCTATCACCATTAACTCTTTCCTCGAATATGAAATGTGGGCAATGTGATTATTGTTTTTTTATCAGTCTTCCAAAGATGACCCAGCATGATCCCCCTTCAGTGGATCGATGCTCATGATGTCAATCACTGGATTGTCTGGTCCAGACTCAATCATTTACAGACCGCCGCCATATAGCTGGAATATTGCTGTGTGTGTTGTTAAACACCACCACCAGTACCTATCTCATGCCACACATCACATTCCAGAACAGGTGCCCCTCAGTCTCCACAGATGACTGAGTGTCGGGGCTGGGAGTGAGTGGGTGGGTGAAAGCCACCCTGTCTGAATACTATCTACATTGTACACGCTCAATCTGATCTACATTGTATAACAAAGGTCCTGGATGGACTTAGGAAAGCAGATATCTCGTATCAGTACTGGACTTGACAGTGCATAAAGGTAAGGGGTGTGCCAGCCACTCAAGTAGTCAAGTGTGTAGAATGATGACATAACATCCTTTTATAGCAGTCCTGTAGTGACAGCAAAAGGGAAAATAAAGCATTTTATTCATATTATCAAACCAGTTTTCATTGTTCAGTATGAAAAGACTGGTCCTTAGATGTGCGGGTCTTTCAGTGTGTCTACTACACCAATGGCCACTAGTTTAGTTATTCAGACCTTAAAGCAAATGTCTCCAATACAGCCCATACAAGTCTATGCTAGTGGGCAAGTCTAGATTACTTCAGAATTGAAGCGAGTACTTGGGCTTCTTTTTATTATATTTTATTAAGAAAATCGAACAACTGTTTCCTCTGTAACATATTTTCATTTCAGAAACAAGATATTAGTCTACCTCAATTAGGAATCTCAAGCCAATTAACGTTTTTTCGGCACAGGCAGCTCAGCTGATATGTGTCCATATATTAACCCTTAAATTTACTGAAAATAGGTAAAAAAACAACTAGGGCCAATAGGTAACTTTTGACATGGACTGCAGTGATCTGAAATAAGCCTAACACACTGCAAAACATGTTCAAAAGACCTACGACTAGGGCATGATTGTACATGATTAAACAGGCAGAACCAGCATGACCCCTATCATACACGCACAATGATCCTACACTGTGCCCACAGATCAGTGAGCGAGAACGTGAATTCAGTTTTCCACAGCTAAGCACTCGCCCTGCCATATCACATCAGGGTACACAACAGCTTCACACATTGTACCCATGTGAAGAATCAAACCAAGGGCTTTGGCGTGACAAGTCAACGCTGAAACCACAGGGCTACCCCACCAGCCTCTGAGTCCAGCAGGCTTTTCCTACAGCTGTGAGCTTCATCCCTGTGGCCATCTTACTTCGTTTCTAATTAATAACTGTAAGATGCTAAGACAATATCAAAGTGATGCATACGTCTTAAATGTCACGTTTGGTCCACCAATTCCTTCCTTGTTAAGTCACTATTCGTTGTTTCCTCATATTTAGACCCCCTGACTTCCTTATTGTCATAGTGTTGTAAATGTAGCCTATCACCAGAGCTGGCCCACATCAATGTCACAGGTCCCATCCGACTGTCCGAAATAGTAACACAGGCCACCTGTCAGGAGGCCATGTGTGTAGGGTTGAACCATGACTATCAACGTGTGGTACGCCCTTACTACTGATGGATGCCCTCTGTGAGCTAGGAGTCATAAGTTGTACCACTACAATGATGAATTGTCTCCTCTGTGGTCAGCTGTTCTGTGTACAACAGGAGATGTTTGGACAATGAATGCACTGTAGCTCCCCAAGTTACATAAAATTACATTCCAATTCCCCTGGTTTCCCAATTCAGTACTTGCATACCATATATCCAGGGTGAAAAAGAACAATTTATTTCACATTAAACCAAACAAGTATTTTCAGATTTAGTACACAATTTCATAATTAGAAAGACAGTAACAAATGGGTTTATGCCATATTTAACTATCGATGGTTCTTAAAGTTTCAAGGACGCGACAAGTTACAACAACTACATGCTCCATGTTGATGGCTTGAACAAACAACAAGCACAAGAGCACCACAGTATCAGATGAACACAGGTTGAACTTAAGATCCCTTGTGGTACAAAACAACGACATCAAGTTTCAGCTCTATCAATCCATTGTAGAGACAAAGTTCAAAATGCAAAACATTACAATACAGCTTTGCCAGGACAAATATACTGCTCTTTAGGCCAGATGGAGCCATACTGGGGACATGTTGAACCAATGTCTTATGTTAGTGTCTGATTTAGCCACTGATTTGGGATAACCTTTGTCTGAATGAACATTTAATTCCAAAAGCGAATTACCCTGTAGCCATGACATGAATCACTTGATTGCCATTACTTAGATGATATAACCAGTTGTTAATCCCCATTGCATTGTATGTTCAATTTGACTGTCAGCCATCCTGAATGATCTGTGCAACTAAGTCTCTTCTCATTATTACCTGTTGTTCATATTTATGAAAAATTGATTAGGCAAGGTGCCCCAGGGCACCAACACACCAACTGTTAACACTACAGGCTGACCTGGCATACACTGCTTCTTGTACATAGCTACTTGCATAAAGAAAACTGGTGTATACTGCCAGTTATCTCCCCCTGGTCACTCCCACCAAGAACCGTACTCCGACCCATGGCATACAGCAATAATCAAATAATCATATTCAATGTAACATGTTAATGTCCGTTGTTATATCTATGAGAAAGTAAGTTGGATTTATTGCATTGTAACTATCTGCCTCATCATCCGACGCTGACTACACACAATGTGTTCGGTCACCCTCAAACTCATCATCAGACACTGACTACACACAATGTGTTCCGTCACCTCACCCTCAAACTCATCATCAGACACTGACTACACACAATGTGTTCCGTCACCTCACCCTCATACTCATCATCAGACACTGACTACACACAATGTGTTCCGTCACCCTCAAACTCATCATCAGACACTGACTACACACAATGTGTTCCGTCACCCTCAAACTCATCATCAGACACTGACTACACACAATGTGTTCTGTCACCCTCAAACTCATCATCAGACACTGACTACACACAATGTGTTCCGTCACCTCACCCTCAAACTCATCATCAGACACTGACTACACACAATGTGTTCCGTCACCTCACCCTCATACTCATCATCAGACACTGACTACACACAATGTGTTCCGTCACCCTCAAACTCATCATCAGACACTGACTACACACAATGTGTTCCGTCACCCTCAAACTCATCATCAGACACTGACTACACACAATGTGTTCCGTCACCCTCAAACTCATCATCAGACACTGACTACACACAATGTGTTCTGTCACCCTCATACTCATCATCAGACACAGACTACACACAATGTGTTCTGTCACCCTCATACTCATCATCAGACACTGACTACACACAATGTGTTCCGTCACCCTCATACTCATCATCAGACACTGACTACACACAATGTGTTCCGTCACCCTCATACTCATCATCAGACACTGACTACACACAATGTGTTCTGTCACCCTCATACTCATCATCAGACACTGACTACACACAATGTGTTCCGTCACCTCACCCTCATACTCATCATCAGACACTGACTACACACAATGTGTTCCGTCACCCTCAAACTCATCATCAGACACTGACTACACACAATGTGTTCCGTCACCCTCAAACTCATCATCAGACACTGACTACACACAATGTGTTCTGCCACCTCACCCTCAAACTCATCATCAGACACTGACTACACACAATGTGTTCTGCCACCCTCAAACTCATCATCAGCGAGTGATGACTGCATTGACATGTTCAACAGTACAATTTGTGACATCAATATTTATATCAAGTTGATGTTTGGATTATTCGAAAGCTTGCAGCTGTTATAAATGTTATTCTATGGTTGTCCTGGGTAATATTATACATATTTGTGCATGCATGTTGTGTGCAAATAAAAAGAACGGTGCAAGGACAACACATTGTCTGACTCATCCTTTAATGATTTACTTTCATGAAATCCAAAACAACGCAAATCGTCAAATATAATATTCCTATTAAAGAACCAGTTAATATTGATGTCATTGGTTAAGTACCTTAATTCCCTTTCAAGTTTACGTTTACAATCCACAGCATTGATCTGTTTCAGTTGTCAATAAGACCATCAGGAACCAACATTAAACTTTATTGAGCAGTTCCCTCATAGGAAACACTAACCTTGGCTAATTCTAACTAGAACATCCAAGACAACCTCCAGCCGGGGCTATTTGTGAACTGAACATCCACCATTTCCTGATGCCAATATTAGTGTGATGCTTGTGTGTACAGTCACAGTTTGCTCATCACAGTCACATTGTCACCCTAAAGTGTGAGCAACCTCCAGACCCTAATGTAAAGGTGTAGGTGGATCACAGGGAAAGACAGGCGGTAAGGGTGTTTTAAGTCTACACACTACGCAGCAGGAAATCCTTCGTCTAATATTTGAGCCAAACCACAGCCTACCCTTCTCTCACCTTTGTTTAGCTAAGCAACATGAGCCACAGCAAAGACCACCCTACTCTCACCTCGACGACTTAAGCCACTTAGGACATCTCTCCATTTGGATTTATTTAAATGATCAGCTTACAGGGTTCAATGGAACACATGTTGCATGGCCCAAATCTAGGACACACTTACAACAATAGAAACCACCTAGTATGTATATTAATAGTAACACAATTCTAATAACTGATGCCTTCCCATTCACACACACACCACTGAAGGAGTGTAACAGTCAATTATAGCAAGTGATATTTGCACTGTTTCCCTCATTGCACTTCCGACTGGTTGAGCACGCAGGGTCAGTTTGACTCCAACTCAACTCATTTTGTGTAACAATGATTGACTTTAGGCGATGCAGATAAATCTGTGCACCACTGCACACATATTATGTTCAGCTTGATTAATCCATCAGCCATGCCAGCTGTTACAGTATTAATTGTACTCCCTGGTAATGATTGGAAATATAGGAAGGGCTATGAACACATATAGCTTCAGAAACAGCTTATGTTCACAGGAACCACCAAATAGGCAACACGCCTTGAATGAAACCAGCCAACCGCCACATGGAGGGTATTTATTATACTTACTGGCACACATTTCACACTACAAATCATACATCTGATTCTGCTCCTGACACTGGAAATATCTTAAATAATGATTGTTATGAACTTGAAGCGTATCAATTTGGAGCTACCTGTTCACGCCTCAAATTTGAAAGTTGAAATGAATTGTCTCGATTCAGAGTCACACGCAACATGTTGTCAATTGAATGGTTTATAACTCAATAGAATCATCCAATCGAAACATATATTGACATGGTTCATGTTAATGATATCATACAAGTGACTGGATAACCACTTGTTTCATATGATCTTTTAAGGTGTTAGAAACTGCCTGCTTGAAGATGTCACTAGAAATAGCCTGCTAAAACATTATGATGAACATAAGTATTCTTCAGCAATTTTGTGGATGACAAGTTTTATTGATTGGTTGGTTTGTTGTTTAACGACGCACTCTGCAATATTCCAGCTATATGACAGCAGTCTGTAAATAATTGAGCCTGGACCAGACAATCCAGTAACTGACATCATGAGCATCGGTCCTGTTAGTCGCCTCTTACGACGAGTTTTATTGACCAACATTGAAGTTATGTGGTGTTGGTGTATGACAAGTGTTATTGACCAACATTGTAGAGATGTGGTGCTGGTGTATGACAAGTGTTTTGACCAACATTGTAGAGATGTGGTGCTGGTGTATGACAAGTGTTATTGACCAACATTGTAGAGATGTGGTGCTGGTGGATAACAGGTGTTATTGACCAACTTTGAAGTTATATGCTGGTGGACATACCTGCAGGCTTGTTCTTGTCAGGGTGGCCAATGGGTATCCATTGTCGTGGAGGGGGAGCACTGGCATGAACTGAAACACAAACAACGCAGGTTACGACTGGAACCTACCGACATTGGCACATTATGGTTGCAAGAGAAACAGTGACTGGGACTCACAAGTAGTACATAATGAACTAACCACTAAACCTGTTTCTCTGTATGACAAGAAGAGCAGTTACCCCTCTGTTGCCTCACCTTCATAAAACTGGGAACAGCTACATTTTCCCAGGTGGGTGAGGTGGGGTTTAACAAGCATTCAAGATTATTGCATTTATACACTGATGTGCAAATATGTGTGTGGATGCTTGTACCAGTTTGGACAAATGCCAGTTTTGTAGTGTCAGCCCACTGAGATACAAAGTCACATGTTTTAACATGGGTACTCCAATCCTGTACAGACTCAGTCGACCAGTCCTATTTAATGCCGAGCACCAGGCAGGATAAAAACAAGTACCGTCTTTTAACACCTTTTGGTATGATGCGCAGGGGATCGGAACCACCGACCTTCCACTCCGTGCAGTTGCTCTATCCACTACACCATGGAGGTGGTCACCTTTTCTCAGCACTCACCCAACTAATGTTAACCCCAACAAATAATTCAGTAATCAAAGGGTTCCTCTAACATGGGGATAATAGGGTGGAAAATATTTTTACATATTAAATTCAAACATTCGAAATCATCAGTAAATCTGGAAACTGCATGTCTCACTTAATTTAAACCTGCATCAGATGAAAGCAAGTTGTGTATGAATACAAAGTACATGCATCTTGACCGAAGTGCTGTACAACAGTTTTCTCTGAACTGGCATCTCCATAACCAAGCAGTCTACTAACTAATGCTTGGTCAAAGCAGGACACAGTACTTTATCCCTGAATAATTCATCTTTCTCTGAACCTTCCTGACCTGTTCAACTGATGGGCCAGACATACCAGCGTACATTATTCTTGTATAATAGCAGTACTGTAAACAATAACTACACACAAGTATATTAATCAATTACTTAACTAACAAAATGATCACTGATCAAAACATGTTTTCAGACATGCAATTGCGTGACCTCCTTCAGAACCGATCCTTATAGTTCCATGTCTATACTATCTACATGAACAAAGGTCAACTGGTTCTAACCCTCATTAATTAGTTCAGGAAAAAACATGAAAACAATGTCTTGCCTAGGATATTCAAATCTGTTTTCATTCCAGGGAACACCTGCCATGGATTAGCGCCATAGATCAAAACAGTTCTTACATTGCCATCAAAACAAAACAGCCCCGCTTCATATTATCCCATTTCATTGATGACATTTGTTATGGTGAATGGAATCTCGGCCAGGCGAGCACGTCAGTGAGGTGATCACTGCCCACTCACCTCCCCACCACCGCCCACCCACTCTCAAGTGTCCAGGATGACTCAACACGCTGCAGCCAGCGAGAGTCCCCAAACGATGATATTACACTGTCATGCCGACTCCACTGGCTTCCACACACTGGGGATACAAGGAATAGCCAATATCACCATAGACGCTAACAAATAGTCAGTACCTGAATATTTCACTGATCACGGAATTCTTGTGAGCACCAGTGTCCAAAGGAATATTAACAGTCAAAATTTTACACTGCATCAGCTAAAAAGGATGTATGTGATATGCATCTATCTTAATGCCTACCAATTAAAAAATCAAGTGAGTGAAAGTAGCTTTCATGGTATTTTTAGCATTGATTCAGCTCTTGTGGGCAACATCAAAAACAGGCTTGAGATACTGTACCAACGAGAGCCCTGGACCTGGATGTCTGGCATAACAAGCACCTGCTCCAGCCACTAGGCTACACCAATGCTACAGGGCAGTAAAAATGCAGTCATAATTCTTATCAAGAATATAAGAACAATACGAACAACTTCTTCCTCACTTTCACATGTAAAATGACCTATGTAAGAATGTTAAATATTGACTCCCACAAAATAAAACCAAGTTCAAAGAAATTCTGGCAGAAGGTTTACCCAGATTCTGAAGGTCTAAGCAAAGGAAGCATAAGCACAACAGACAAGTTGTTGGTTGTGTGTCACAGTAAGCGGCAGGCAGTGTTTGTATGGAGGCAACAGGCATGGAGATTCACACACTATGCCCGATTTGAGGACACTGTATCTTGAATTTAGTGATGGTGTGTTTGTATAACCTATCCCCGCAGACTGACAGATTGTAAGGAATTGTTGCCAAGGAATAATATCTCCGGCTGCTGTAGGTCACACTAACAGAAGCAATGCATAACAGCATATCTTACAATGTCAATAAATGTTAATGTACATATAGTTTACACCTTCACAATGTGGTATCTGGTTCATGCATGATGTTAAGCTACTTTTTCACAAGAAATACAATGGGAACGAATGATTGATTGAAAACCACCAGATAGTGACAACTTTTCAGGCTAAAAAAAAATCTCCACGTATGTCTCAAATGCAAAATAAATCTCACAGAAACAAAAAGGACATTTAATTTCAACATAATTAGCATTACTGTTATAAAACATGTTGGACTCCCTTGCTGTTCTTGCAAAAACAGTTAGCATGTACCAAAGCCAGTGTTTATCAGGATAAGATTACAAAATAATTTGTTACTTGATTCATCACTTTGCCCTGTGTCTTATCATGACCTTATCACTGAGTTATCAGACAGCATGGTCAACTGACATGTCTTGTTGATTCTACACCTTCACCCCAACTAGCGTAACTGCAAACCTTATTAAAGTACTGTTCAAAACAAGGTCTTACAAAGCTTGACACCACTGTAACTGGGGACATGTCTAATGACCAGTCTCAACTTCTACAGCAGACGCAAACGACAAAAAGCACAATCGATGAACTCCTACAAGCTGACAGAGTCAAGTGGACACATGTCGTGAATGTTCCTGATGAGGAGCCCAAACATATATGTAGCTTGTTGTGAACTGAAAGCAGTACCTAGTGACATGCAGCACACACTTATTGTCTAGCTAGGAGGTGTGTTTATTGAGCTTGAACATGTCCTATTTCTAAAGTAAAGATTGGTCAAATACACTTGGCCTTGTTCAAATCACAGTGCCTCCAACAGGTCACAATTGTGCTGTGATGGTCGATAAGGGACAGGGTGCCCCCTACTGGTCAGAAAGCATGTTGACACACATGTACTGTAAGGGTCGATAAGGGACAGGATGAAAGGAAAAAGAATAATTAGTCCTTTTTACTATATTTCCAAAGCAGACAAATCCTACTGTACTGTTAATATGGGGACAACAGGAAAGGCCTTCACATGGCCCAATGTAGGGAATCCAGCCCGGGTCTTCACCACGAACAAATGTTTCACCCACTTGTGCTGGGTGTCAACTTGAAGCAAGAGAACAAATGCTTTAACCATGAGACCTAAAGCATAGTTAGATAAAAGTGATATCCAAATTGAAGACCTGATACAACTATCTGTTTACCTCTTTAAGACATACACATGAATAGAGAAAAGACAATGTTATCTAAATTCAACACATCTGTTGCAAGGAATGTGAATGCAGAGGATCCAATTGTTCTGTTGTTGCTCACTACTAGCTCTTTTCAGATCCCAGGCAAATATGCACACCACACTAAATAGAATGCAAGATATTGATACGATGAGAAAGAGACAACTAGCCCACTTAGAGTTCTGTCAGCTCCACCATTGAAAGTGAGTAAGTGAGTGAGTGATTTTTTTGTTTTACGCCGCTTTTAGCAATATTCCAGCAATATCACGGCGGGGGACACCAGGAACGGGCTTCACAAATTGTACCCATGTCGGGAATCGAACCCGGGTCTTAGGCGTGACGAGCGTCCACCATTGAAAAAGATAAGCAGGTATTTACAGGAAAACAATATACACAATGAAGCAAATGCAAATTGCCATTTCCTGGTAACCGACCCAGTGGCATGTATTGACGGAGCTTCCTGGTACCGTGATGTCAAGTGACTGAGTATTGAGTTGGGCACCACATGTTCACCCAAGCTACCCTAACACAGGGCAAGCTGTGGCTTCCCTATTGATTTAACTGGGTGTTCATTAATCACTGGGAGCTTGCTCTGTCTGGGACATACCTGACTTACTACAGGAGAGAGATCGATATGTGTAGTAAACTTGTGTGGATATTTGTAAGCTCAGTTGGAGGACTTGGCAACTTCTGCCTCATCCCTCTGTTCTTCAGTTTCCTTTGGCCTCATACCGTATTCGCAGTATTAAGCGCCCTGCTCCTAAAGCACCCCTTGTCCAACTTCTGGACGTGATCTTCTAGTAGTAAGTAAACATTCTAAGTGCCCCCGTATCAGAGCAAAACTGAATATGAAAGTCCATGACAAATGTTTACAGAAGCTGCAGCATTGAAGGGGAATATAACTGTCTTGTAACTATTATGGAAAATGTTTTAGTTTCCACATTGGAACTAAGCTTGTTCACTAGCGATCGATCACTAACAACAAACTTAACTTGTGTATGGTTTCAAAAAGCTCCCACTTTGTCAATTTTCTAGCGCCCAGAGCGCTACTATGTATTAATATTCCCAGTGGATAAGGGAAATGTATTGTATCTTCTGTAAATGTTCTCCTGATAGGCATAATCAATATGGTAAGTGGATAATGGCCTGTTTGACACAGCTCCACCACGGTCGGTGATGTAAAGTCTTCATGTGACAGTGCACCAGTCCACAGACAGTGTGAGATGGTCATCTGCCAACAGCTCTCTGGGCTCATCCTACTTTCAATACTTATTCCCTCTATCAATTGCATCCTTGTCAGGTGACTGTGCAATCATCTCCAAGGTCTTAGTTATTGAATGCATACAAATATACAACCCAATATACCATGTGAAACCCTCAAAAGATATACTAGCATAACTTTTATGCTAGAAACATATTTCATGGTAGGATTTTTGATTCAAATAAAATGCATTGTCAGAAAAAACTCCAACATGCACAAGCCCAATGAGACCGCTGACAGATGTGGGCAGGGGAACCGATGTTGGCAGGTTAATTCACAAAAGG